AAAATATACTACTTTTAAAAGGTTTTGACGTGCTGAATCTAAATACCAAGTCTTTTCAAGAATTTCTAGCCCAAAATTTTTAATATTTAAAGTTAAATTACATCACAAGGTATTTTTAAAATAAAATTTGTTACGCCGATTTTTTTCAATATTCTTTCTCCTCTTCAAGTGATGTTAAAATTGAATTTTTTGTTTTCATTTTTATTTAATTTATTGAAAACGCAAATAATAAAAAAAACATTTAAAAAATAATATTATTATTAAGATTATTTACCTAAAATGATAACAAGATGTGAAATTATAGGTTCTAAAAATATTTACCAAAATATTAAAAGAGGTAAAAGTTTATAAAATAACAAAAATTATTTAAAAATTGCAATTTTTAAATGTCTAGATTAAGATTTTTTATTTAACTTGCATAAGTTTATTTAACATTAAAAAAATATGAAAAATCATTTTTGTAAAAATGCCTAAATCTATAAAAGATCTAATCTCAACACTAAAAATGGGCAATTTCATTTTTTTAACACATACTATACTATACAAACTATAGGCCCATTTCATTGCATAATAAATTTTCTCCCATATTATTTCAGTCTCTAAAAAGTGTGCATTTTACGACTGGAATCACTTAAAAAAAAACCATAAAATATTGAATAATCTTTTAGGTAAACACATAAAATTACACAAATAGATTAATTTCCTATCAAGACTTGTTATTTATTATTAAAATATTTTTAGAAAAATTGTAATTAAAAAAATATAAAATCTATTTTCAAACACAAAATCCCACACAAAAACATGTCAACAGGTGCTCAGTTATTTTGTTATTTATAACAAGAATTAACAAAATTAGTTGTAACAATACAATTCGTTAAAAGAATACAGGGTGAACCAAGTATCCTTCTGTGTATACATATAGCTATTTTTTTATTTAAAAAGCTACAAGGTCGGTAATATAAAAGAAAATTTGTGTTATTACAATTGTAATAACGCAACTTTTCTTTTATATTACCGACAGTTTTTTTTAATTTTAATAGCTTAAGCCTAAAAAACTGTCCAAACCAAAAATCGATATTACATCGTTATTGCTGGAAATTTTATAAAAAAATTAGTTTAGTGTGTAAACACATTTTGAGTTAACATTTTTTGTTTTTTGTTTTTTTATGTATGTAAAAATTTAGTAGGCAAAAAATACACAAATTGGATGAAAATGTAGATAAATGTGTATGTTTACATGGAAAACTTAATTTTTTTCAAAATGCCCAAGAGTAACGATTAATGATTTTTGGTTTCACATGTTTTCAGTTTTTTTCAAAATATTTGAGAACCACAGATTTTTTTTCGAATTTTTATGTGTTATTTAAATATACTAGTAATTACACAATTTTTATCTAATTTAACCGAATTGTAGCTCTCCAAATAAAAAATATATTCATACATAGTAAAAAATGGCGAATGCGCCGGGATTATTTTTGTGTAAATTATAAAAAATCTTAAAATAAAAATAAGTTAGTTCTATTTTTATAAATCTAGAATTGTTTATTTACTTAAAAATTTGCAAAATAATACGTTATATAAAAATATCCAGCAAATTTATTTTTTAAATTAAAAATAGGCCTGAAGGTGTTTTAAAATCATTGACCGTTTTATAAATATTTACTACATAATATTTAAAAAAATAATCAAATTTAATTAAAAATGTTGTTTTAAATCAGAAATACAAAACATAAATGGGCTTCTTCTATATATGAACAATAGGTAATTGAATTAATTTTTTTTATTAAGTTATCTGCGCCCAATGTTGGCCCATTTTACAAACTCTACCACCTACACAAAACTATGTGTACCTCTCATAATTTCACAGGCAATTTCAAATAGTACAACATAAATCTTATAATTTGTCAGAAGCGAAAATTAATCATACAATATTAAACATATTTGCACATTTGCTTAAATAAATCCTAATTATAATAACATTTACTTCTATTTTCAGCAACGTTGAAATTATTGTGTGCATTTGGCTTTCATCAGTGCCAGTTGTAAATAAATAAATATGAAAATTTAGTTTAATTAGGTCAAAAACTTTGTTTTATTAAAAGGGGAATAGGTAATTTAATTATTAAAAAAAACTACTATTCTTTTTATTGTTAAGAGTAAGATCCTCCTAGGCTAATGAAGAATATATTTAACAATTTTGAGGCATAAATAATATAACAAATTACGTACAATTTTTTTTAATAAAAACAGTTTTGTGATTTGCCCCGTTCGAATGCTTTCTCAACGCGCGCGCCATCTGGTGAACTTCAAAAGCATTGCGTGAATTTAAGAATTGTCAACAATACATTTAAAGCATACGAACTGTACATCATTTTTAAATAAATAGGTAGTTTTTTCACAAAAGAGAGGAAGGCAGAAGTCTTACTCGACAAATTTTGTTCAATTGCACAGCTAAATCGGGCACGTTATTTGCGTTTTACGTTGCAAGGAAAAAACTAAAAAACTGGTTTAGTACTCGATTTCGATTGATTATTCTTTATATCATTGATTAAGAAACTCAACGTTTAAATGCTTATATAGTTACGTTAGTGTGTGTATCTTATCTAAGGGATCATGGTAAATTATTGTTTTTAATTGTAAATAAAATTCAAGAACTAAATCGTTGCATTTTCATGTTTTGCCAAAGGATCCAATTCTGTAAGTACATTTGTTGATGCAGAATTAACTAATGATAACTTTACCTAATATAATTTATATTTAAGTTTGGACATTTTTAAGAAATTAGTAAAAAATAATTTTTGCACAAACATAACCTTAAAATCAACCATTTTTATATTTGAGTTCTCTAAAAAACGCCGAAAACTGCATTTTAAACAACAAAATATACCTACGAATTCATGGCAACACAATATTATATAATATATTATAATACATAATATAAACATACTTTAAAGAATACTTAATCAACGCTTTTAATAATGCTAAATACTGTTTAAATTTAGACGACATTTTTTTGACTATTTTTACAGAATTGAAATGTTTACACTTTTCACGTTAATCATTACTAAAATGTGTATTTATTGTATCTAACAAATACAATTTATATTTACAGGGACTGTATGAAATTTATTTCTTCATTCGGATTAACACTGTTTATTGGAAAACCGGTAAAAACTCAACCCAGGATTTCCTCTCGAAATACACCCAACAACACAACAAATCGTGCCACGGTTTTTTTTTTTGATATTTTTTAACATTTTCTGGCTTTATTCTCAACAACACTCGTTTGTAACACACGCGTTTGACAGCTGATTATCAAAAGTTGTACTTTTGTTACGATGATAACAGCCGAGTGGTGGCGCTACTAGCGATACTTCTTTAGCGTATAACGACAATTTTGTTTGTTACATTTTCATTTAGATAAAAAGTACAATCATTTTGGAAAACAAACAATACCTTTTTTGTAAGTTTTTATAAATCTAATACAAAAAATCCACCAAAAACATACACCTTCCATTGAGGATTTAAATTGTTAAATAATGCCAATATATTTTGCGACAATTTGTTTATTTATGCTTTTGTAGTTTATTATAGTTTTGATAGAATTATTTTGTCTTCTAAAGTTTTTTCCTAATGTTTTAACGACAACAAAATGGTTTAATTTGATATTTATAACGAAAAATTGGAATAAATAATTATAAAAATGATTTTGTTAGAAATTTTCAAGAGCTTTCCAAAGATGTGTCATTTAAAAAAATTGTAAAGGTCATTTTTGTGGTTTTGTGGTTTCCTTCAACATATCCCAGTTTTTAGAAATGTTTTATATATTTTTTAGTTTTTTTATGTATTAAAGAAAAATGAGTTGGATGGAAACTGGGAAGTGAATATAAACTAATCTGCTAAATTAGAATAAAAAACTAAGTAAATTTGAAATGAACTTATTTTTTCATGTCGATAAAGAAGCTTTAATTAATTACTGTTTGTCCAGCTTTTTTCAGATCAAGTAAGGATTTTTTGTTTATCAATAAACAATAATAACTTTTTATATACCCTCACATGCAAAATAATCGATCCACACAAATTTTCGATGAATTTCAATCGCAAATAACTTTTTTATTTGATTTCGGATTTAAAAATAGTGTAGATACATTAATGGAGAATCGCTCACATTTTAAAAACATTACTAAAAAATACACGTACGTTTATAATATACAGGTTTAAACAAAAATATGTTTTTTAACATAAGTTTCAGACACTGTAGAGTGGCAAATCCGTATCCGTATATGTTGCCCTTTGTACTTTACTTCTTGAGACGTTTAAAACACTTGCCACGTAATACTGTGACCGTCCATCTTGGATTAAATTAATGGTTCTGGCAACATAGGTCGGAGACATCCATTTTTTAAAGTAAGAAGACACCTCAAAATTTAAACATTAATTTGCAAAAAACAATTCGATAGCTTTTGAAAGCCGTGTATGACATGTCCAAGTATTAGATGATTCAACAAAACTGTCACTGTCATTCTCAATAGCCTATGGATGGACCATAGCAACCTTAGTTCTTCATACAGAAAAATATTGGAAATTGCAATGTTTTTTTAAAAAATCCATATTTTCCACAAAACTGTTAAGAATAGATGTGACTTGATAAATAAAACTTAATTTAGAACAATATACGGTTTTGCCACTCTACAGAGTGTCTTAAAACTTATGGTAAAAAACATATTTTTGTTTAAACCTGTATATTATAAAACTACGTCTATTTTTTAGTAATTTTTTAAAATGTGAGCGATTGTCCATTAATTTATCTACAATATTCTTTAATATTCTTTTAAATCCGACATCAAATAAAAAAGTTATTTGCGATTGAAATTCATCGAAAATTTGTGTGGATCGATTATTTTGCCTGTAAGTGTTTATATTTTTAAATTTTCCACTGTCCAAAGTTAATTTTTACCAGATGGAACTTTGTCATAGTATTAAAAAGTAAAAGTACTTACCCACTATTTTCGTATTCGGCCAATTCGTTCAACAAACTGTCCACTGTGGGTCTGTTCAGGGTACTTTGGGCACTAGTTGGACGCGACATGACACCTCCGACGGGGCTTCTTGCTTCCGAACCGTTGTACGAACCGTTCAACGTTCCGTTCATGCCGTTTTCTAAAACAATTTTTCGTGGAAGAATATCTATGCATTTCCATCTCAAATAAGTGGGTTAGTCAGTCGGTAAATAAACAATATGGAATGGATTTGGGTCATAGAAGAATCTTACAGCAAAAGTTTTGGAATTATATTTAGAATAGATTATGAATAGAATGTTTTAAGTGGTTAAAATAATGGTGATGTAATTTAAACCATACCATATCTACTTTTAAAAATAAATATTCAAATATGTTGTGCAAAAAGTAATTGAAACATTTAGAAATGTACTTACTGAAATAATTCTCAAAAACTCCGATTTTCTTAACAACAGTAACTGTCTCAAACATTTTATAACGCACTACTATAATAACATTGTTTCTGTTTACAAATGGTATAGTTGTTAATTGTGAAAAAATTGCACGAAACTTGAGTCATCGTTAAAAATGTCGACTGCGTTAATTTTATTTTAATTTACATAAAAAAACTGCATGCGATTCTGCTAAAACCGTTTTTATCGTTTTTGTGTAGGATGAGATAGGAATTTGATGATAAAGTTTATAAAAATGCTTATGGTTTTATTCTGAATATTACTGCCTGTTTAAAAAACAATAAAAAGAAAAAAGTAAGAAAAAAAAAACATATTTGTGTGATTTAAAAAAAGTTTGGTTTTGAGGTAGGGATATACAGGGGGCACCAAGTATTCTTCTTTTATTTGATGAGCGACAAGGTCGGTAAATTACAGAAAAGCCTAAAATAAAATTTATAAACTGAAAAAAACAGTGGTTTTCAAAATATTTCAAAAAAACTGTAAAAACAAAAAAACCGTTATAACTTTGTTTTTAACATACTTTTGAAAAAAAAGTAAGTTAAAATTACATGAAAACATACAAATTAATCTACATTTTCATCCAATTTCGTGGCTTGAGTCATCGTTAAAAATGTCGACTGCGTTAATTTTAATTTAATTTACATAAAAAAACTGCATGCGATTCTGCTAAAACCGTTTTTATCGTTTTTGTGTAGGATGAGATAGGAATTTGATGATAAAGTTTATAAAAATGCTTATGGTTTTATTCTGAATATTACTGCCTGTTTAAAAAACAATAAAAAGAAAAAAGTAAGAAAAAAAAACATATTTGTGTGATTTAAAAAAAGTTTGGTTTTGAGGTAGGGATATACAGGGGGCACCAAGTATTCTTCTATGGGTATTTTTTTTATTTGATGAGCGACAAGGTCGGTAAATTACAGAAAAGCCTAAAATAAAATTTATAAACTGAAAAAAACAGTGGTTCTCAAAATATTTCAAAAAAACTGTAAAAACAAAAAAACCGTTATAACTTTGTTTTTAACATACTTTTGAAAAAAAAGTAAGTTAAAATTACATGAAAACATACAAATTAATCTACATTTTCATCCAATTTCGTGGCTACTACAGTTCATTTTTTTTAAATTTGGAAGTTGGTAGCTTAGCCAGTTTGATTTAGTATTTGTAGTATTTAAAAAATGGTACTTCTGCTGAAGACCTTAATTAAATACTTTGACACTGTCAAATTGACAGTAATATTTATTATTGATAATTTACTTGTAAATTATTATATAACATCAATATGAAAAGATTCTTTTTTTTTAAGTCCTTTTTTTATCTGGACTGCAGCAACGTTGCAAATTTAGGGTTTTGGTTGGTAAATACAGTTGTCAAGTTGGTCGCATTGATTAAAACAAACTAAGCTAGTTATAAATCTAATTGTGGTTATGTATAAATTATTGTAGGTTACTTTTTATAGTTGTCAAGTTGAGTTGTCGAAATTCGTAGTTAAAAATGCAATTAATTTGGCTTTGGTGGTGCTTGGATGAGTAAAATCATATAAAAAAGTAGTTAAATATAGGTTGCTTTACGGCCCAGAAGAGAAAACGGATAATTATCTTCGCTTTGAAAAATGTTGTCCAATGGTGAATAATGTGAAAATAATCTGTGATGTAATATTTATAAAACCAAATTCGTTACTTTTTTACTCCAAAAATATCCATAAGGGGATGTACTTTTTCTTCCATTGTGGCATTTGGCATAATTTCATCAAAATGAAGTTTTGCCCTCAAAAGGGCTTTTACATTCGAATTCGTTGCTATTATTTTTGGCATAATTATCTTTTTATTTATAATTGACAAGTAAATTATCAATGATAAATATTATTGTCAATTTGACAGTGTCAAAGTATTTAATTAAATTCTTTAGCAGAAGTACCATTTTTAAATACTAAAAATAATAAGTCAAACTGACATAAGCCACCAGATAAAAAAAATGAACTGTATGCTAAAAATAACATCAGATTTTAAAGTAAAAGAACTTTTAAGGGCCACATTTCTATGAAGTTATGCCAAATGCCTCAATGGTTCAACCTTTTTGTGAAAAATCTAGTAGTTAATTTTCCTGTCTTTGAAAATTTGGTTTGAAAAAAGATAAGCAATAATCACGAAACTGTTTCTTCTTTCAATTTGCAAGTTACTGATCATTAATAGTCCTGGACAATATATATATTATAATTATTATTAAGCCCCTACAAGTATTAACATCCAGTGGCTTTAACAAAATACCTTTGGAGTCCAATAATTGGATAACATTTACGTGTGTTCACATAAAATTTTAATTTCTTTTATATAAATTGTTTTCAAAGCGAAGATTATTATCCGCTAGGAAAACTTTGTCTCTCCTGGGCCGTGGTCACCTATATTTAACTACTTTTTTATGTGATTTTACTAATCTACGCGCCACCAAAGCCAATTTGCCGCAGTCCAGATAAAAAAAATGAACTTTATATTTTGAGTTACCATCACCACATTTTTTTATAATGGCCGCCATAACTTTTAGAGTTTGATACATCATTGGATTCCTTGATTTTTTTTTACCCAACCCTGTAAAATTCCAATATGGCGGCCACAGTAAAGACAAAATATGGTGGTATGTAGTAAAAAAATTATAAATTTGATGCAAATAGAGATAAATGTTAACATGTTAAACATACTTTTTTAAATTCCCAGAAATAACGAAGTTATACCAATTTTTGGTTTTTACAGGGAGTTTTTTCAAATTATTTAAGAAAAATTAATAAAAACAAATAAAAAATACCCATACATAGAATAATACTTGGTGCCAAAACAAATGTTCCTTTATTTGATTACACTGTGCAACATTTTCAGAAAAAAATTAAGATGATGGGGTTCTAAAAGTATTTTCGGCAATCAAAATGTTTAGATTGATTCTGGTTTTTTTTAAATATCAATTTAAAGTTTTAGTAATTCCGGATTCCGAAATATCGTAAAATAATAAATATTGTTTTATAAAGTAATAACAATCAAATAAAGAAAAAAATAATTAAATAAAAAAATAATGAGAACAATAAAATGCATTTTTTAAATTGAACCTTTTTCTGGATTTAATATGTTGTAGTGCAATTTATTCTTTTGCTTCTACCATAATAATAATTATGGTAATTATTATTATTATATTATTGTTTGATGCTCTTCTGATTCGGTGGACAACTGATTTTCGAACAGGTCAATATGTGCATGGAGCAAATGTACTTTTAGTGACATGTTTACCCCCATTTTTAATTTTTGTTTTATTTTTGATTATTTCTTTTTAATTTATTGTTATGACAACAATTTCCTACCAGTTAATTGGTTTAAATTAATAAATAAAGGTTTTTCGGGTTCCAAAATTAATAAAACTTAAAATCGATTTAAAAAAAAAACCTGAATCAATCTAAACATTCTTTAACCGCAAAAAGGCCTTCTTTGGATAGGAGAAACGAAAACCACTTTCAGAACCCCATCATTTTTTTGTTTTGGTTTAAATTAATAAATAACGGTTTTTCGGTTTCCAAAATTAATAAAACTTAAAATCGATATTAAAAAACAACCTAAACATTCTGTAAACGCAAGGCATTCTTTGGATAGGAGAAACGAAATCCACTTTCAGAACCCCATCTTTTTTTTTGTTTTGGTTTAAATTAATAAATAACGGTTTTTCGGGTTCCAAAATTAATAAAACTTAAAATCGATATTAAAAAAAAACCTGAATCAATCTAAACATTCTGTAAACGCAAAAAGACATTCTTTGGATAGGAGAAACGAAAACCACTTTCAGAACCCCATCATTTTTTTTGTTATTGGAAATCTTTCAAACATTTTTCTTACCATTTGCTGCCAAGGTATTGGCATATCTGTTGTTGCTGAGATCTTGCAATAACGTATCCAGCTCCGACAGGTTGTTGTACGCCTTTTGTTTTTCGTTGACGGGAGCTGAGGGCAAAGAACCGTACCCTGGGGAACCTCCACTGCCGTAACTGCCCGGGCTTTTACGGCCCGCTGACGGTTGCGTTTTGCCATAAGTTGATGTTGGAGTACTCTAAATAAAAATTAAAAGTTGTGATAAAACATAAAAAAATTAGATTATGGTTAAGGAAGTTGATAAGTATTCTGAGCAGAGGTTTAAATATCATAATTATCATGGAATTCCATTTTTGCATTAACATAAATATTTAATTTATCCAAGAATCCTAAAATAAAACACATAGGTTCTAAAGTTGACAAAATTCCCTTCTGCTTAAATAAGCCACCACCTGTTAATTGAATCAACAAGTGGCCGAGCAGTATTCAAATCCCAAGCGTACTTGATCCAAAGCCACGGACGCCGGGCGTCGCGGCATCAATCCTTTCATTATCATTTAAAATATTAATTTCGATTTGATATCGAATTACAAAAAAATCCCCACGAGAACGTTAATAGAGTAATTCAAGCAGTTTCTGCCCAGGATCTAGGAAGCCGTAAATGGCGCGAACCAATAGAATTCGCGCCGGCGCGAGTGCGAGAGAGACGGCGCGATCGTACGTCGAATGTTATTGGTTGCAGAGTGGGAATATACCGAGCGTTTTTGCGCACGGCACCACCGAAAAAAATCCACGAGAGTTTGAGATTTGAGAAAACGCGAAATTTCTATCGATTGTTGGGCGATTTTATTTTTGGAATTTGCAATGGTTATAAATAGTTTTAGTTGTTTTATTTATGTATTTGTGTGTGTGTTTAGGTACAATATGGCAACTTAAATTATAAAAATAATGCAATTTTAAAATTATATTAAAAATATGAAATTTTAACAAAATGCCGTTGTCTTTTGTCTCTTACACAGGGTGTTCCATAATGACATAACAGAGAAGCCGTTGCTGGAGCAGTAAAATAAATGAAGTATGTCTTTAAGGAACACTCTGTATAAAATTAATTATTTCTGCAATAGAAGTTACAAATTAGTTATAAACAACTTATGTTTAAATTAAAAAGTGCATTTTGGCAGAGGATTATATTTTTAAGAATAATTTTAGTTTTCGGTCTAAAATTAAGTCTAAATTTTGGTAGATTTCACGCTGCGTTAATTTCTGTCAAATACGAGGGTACGTTTAAATATTTTTTACAAAATTTTGATTTCTTTTATACAGTCGGTGTCCCGAAAATGGCAAATGTTTGTTATGGAAACAATTTAAAAAAGATGCTTAACACATGTATTTTTTGACAGTTTGTTTAAAACCCCACATCATTCGTTATTATTAACAAACTTTAACTTTTTTTTAGGTGTTTTTTGTTGTTTTATATCCCATGTAATAAAAAACTCTCATTATGATGAATGAAATGGATGTTTTTTTAAATATCGCACATCCCTTTGAAATTTAACATTTAAAGTTTCGCCATTTGGGTTGCCTATGTACTATGCCCCACATCAAAAGGTCCAACTTTGACATTTGAGTAAAGAATGCAGTCAAATAATTGAGGTTATGTATCTGTCAATTTAACGCTAATTTCGTCCTATTTTCTGTAAATAATGTAATAAATTGGTACCTTTTTAACAATAAATAAATAATGTGTTGTACTTTTTCAAAAATAAGACGAAATAAGGGTTAAACATAACATACATAACCTTAATTATTATATTACATTCCTCATTCAAATGTGAACTTTTTGATGTGAAGCATGGTACCAATATCCTAAAAATGTATCCATATAAAATACCTACATTAATTAATATTAAGTAAAAATTAATTTTTTATTTAAAAAATGTAAAAACCTTATAATTAAAAACATTCGATTTTGAAAATTACAACCAACTATATTTAAAAAAACACGAAGGTTAATTATTTATATTTGTTTTATAAACAGAAAAATGAGGGACTAACACCATACCATATTAGTATATTAAAGAACTAATATCATAAGACGTAATTTTGTCGCACGCGGACAATTTATAATTGTAATGGACGAGTCGACAAAAGGTCTTATGACATGAGTTCTTTATGGTATTTTATCTATTTTGCAAACATTCTATAAAAAAATTAATTTTATACCTTAAATTTAATTTGGTCGAATTTTACTTTAGATAGTTGGTATCACAGTCATTGGTTTTACAGTTAATGTCAAAATCGATTCGCCATGCCGTCCTTAATTTACTTATTTACAATAAGAGGCTGTTAATGTTAAAGAAAAAAAGGATATTCTTTGGTGTTCCACAAAATATATTGCCAAAAAAGTCTCGTAAGTACTAGAAAAATCATAAAAATATTATAACCAATATGCAAAATATTATGCTGTTTAAAGTATAGTCAACCTATAAAATCAAAATTTTGAGTGGGATAAAGTATCTCATTACAGCACCGAAAGCAGTGTTATAATGAAGTCATTATGAACGCAAATAGATATAAGTATATAAAAATACAGTTTAACACCATTATTTTCCTTTAATAAACTTTATGACTACCCCTTGTACAAACTTGTGATAATGCATCTGTGACGGGAGTTGTTTAGCGCCAATTTTTCGCTAATTAATTTGTTTATTTAAGATTATTTTTGCCGATTTTCGTCTTGAAATGCAGGTGTCTTAAATATGTCGTCTAGTTGTATTTTAATAAATTTTACATAGTTTTAAATAGATAAAAGCTTTTATTTAACCAGTTTAAGTTAAGGTTTTTAAATTTGATACCTAACAAATTATTGAAATTATGGAATTTTATAAATAAACTATGATACAAAATAATTATGACTTTGACAGGTAAATTTACAAACTCTCCTTAAATCACATACAAATATAATTTTGCTTTTCTCGAGGATGTTTAACTGAGTAACTTAAGAAACACACTTGTTGAATCACTTAACAGGTGGTGGACAGCTTGCATCGAAGTTTTTATCGTTATATTGCAGTAAAACTTAGTTTTCAATTAAGTTTTGCCCGTAAAATATAATGTAATATAAATAACAAGTTTAAATGAGTTATTTTATTGTTTTGACCAAGTAAAAAATTATTTTTAGGACCAATACTGAGTAAAATTAAAATAATTACATTGAAACGGGAACAAATCTAAAAACAGATCGGGAAATATAATTTTTAATTGGTTGGAACAAGGAACTTTTTTAATCTTTTTTTAAATGTATTATATCATTGTTTATTTTTATAATATCAATATTTTTTTTTTTAAATATTTATCCACTTTTCTTACAAGGTGTTCTAAAAATATGAACTCCGCACTCTACAAATATGTTTATACTTTGACAAGTAAATAATCCTTGGATCTTGGATATATTCGGACACTCTGAATAATATTTTAATTAATTATGCACGTAAAAATAATTTTTAATTACACGCAAGTGTTAGGTGTAAAAACATGTAATCAAATACGTTAATTTATATAAAATAACATCTGAAGGTGACCTCAATACCAACAGCCACCATTGACACATTAACATCGAGTTATTATTACGATTAATAATAATTTTCGCTGGACTTGCCAATAAAAACGAAAAATACGAAAAGTTCACCGCGGCGACATCTGTTGTAAGTTACGCGAACTAAAACATCGCGACTTCGGCGGATAGATGGCGCTACATACAGCAAATGTTTTTATAAATTCGTAGATTTAAAAATGCTTACAGATTTAACAGTGTATCCCTGGACTTGGGAAATTGGACTTTCTGCTCCTGGTGACTGCCTCGAGGTCTTTTTAAGCGACCCATACCCAGGACTGCTCGAGTTAAGTCCAGATCCTGAATGGATTGTGTTCTGTAAGTCTGCCAAAAGTGCATCTAAAACAAAAAATGGTAATCAATAAGGGAATTCAAATTTGTTATGAATTTGGACGAATTATATATACAGGGTGACATGATTTAAACTTTTGATTTTCTTTTTCACTTCTTTTACCTTAAGAAAGACAAATAAATCTCAGTGCTTACAAATAACAACAACATTAGTCAATGGACAATGAAATCATCAATAAACAATGCTCATACCGAATTCCTGCAATTCTTTGGTTAAATCCAGCATTTTAATCACTAACCACAAACTAACTAGGTATTCAAATTACCGAAAATGCAGTAAAACGTTTCAATCCTATTATCATGTGTAATGACCCAATTAAACCATACGTAAATAAACATATTGCTTGGTATTTTCAACAAATGCTAATTGCTTTAATAGATAAATTGCTATAGTGCATTTGTCCATACCGGGTTTGCGAAAAGCAGATTACAATTTCATAACCGCTTTCTTAACAAATTATTTATTTATTAGATTAGTGAGTCATAACTTTAATACCTATACAATTAAATGCACTTATTATTTAAATAATTACATACCCAAATTTTGTATTATATGTTCTTTAGCTTCAGACATTATTTAAAACTATTATAAACACAAAAAAGACTGCACACGACAAGCCCTGATAACTAAATAAATGTAATCTATAAAATTTAAATATTTAGGAAGCAGCGTTTTTAGTAGGAATTGACGTAGATAAGATAAATGACACGACAGACATATGCAGAGTTCCTTAAATATTTGTAAATAAAATAAAATTAGTAATTTATTTGTTTAACTTTGAATCTTAAATATTGTTGATTTTATGTAATGTTTTGTTAATCAAGAGTATATTGTGCGGCTAGTGGGAGAAAGAGGAGATTCCTGGAGTGACAATATTTTATTCAACTATCGCAAGGAATTTAAAGCCAATGTTATTTAATATTTTATCCAACATCTGACAACTGTCAAGCAGTTTTAACCTCACTTTTTTCCAATTTTGACTTAAAGCTAACTTCAGCCCGTAGGCAGGGTCACGAAATTGCAATAATATTTACTTGACAAGTGTTCCTAAATTGACATTAATAAAAATTTAAGGAATTTAAACCTACTGAACTTATTTAATTGCATAGATTACACACTTAAAAATAGTACATAAACATTGTTCGTTATTCGTTATTTGGCATCAGTTTAATTTACTTGACCATGTTACAACGTTTATTTACATTTAATTTTATAATCATTTATTAGTCACACAAAAGTTTTATTAAATTCCAATTCGATATATTAATTACTTAAAATTAGACCACAGCTTCGCAAAGTTTTTTTAACATTTAAAATTTTGTATTTTTTTTAAATGGGATAAAAAATAGTATATTATGTATCAAGTTTGATAAACGCCATTTTATACACGAATTTAATTTAGGCACGAGCGAGCTTGCGAGCGAGTTCTTAAATTAATGAGTGTTTAGAAAAGTTTATAAACGAGGTGCATACTATACTTTTTCTGCGACAAATACTTATTATTATCTTAAAATGATTTAAATCAACATCACCGTCAAATGTCAAATTTTTTTATTTTATATATACAGATTATAAAGGTTATAAATCGAAATGTATTTCTTGAAAATTGACAGTTTTTCACAGAGAAAGTAAAGAAAATGTTTTATGAGCACTTACGGTGGAGTCCGTGTCCGAATTTAAGTTCATAGGTATAAACTTTTCAAATATTGGCGTTGAGAAACTATTTAATAATTTTGTATTTTTGTATTGAGATAATAAAATAATTTTTACATTTAGTATTATTTTACAAGAAAGGCACTTTATTTTAACGATTGTATGACATTTGACAACTGTCAACTAACTTAAAACTAACTTCAGCCCGTGACTAAAAACCTGTTGCTAACTTCAGCCTGTGACTAAAGCGCCGTAAAGCCACAACTTGTCAATGTGTATTTAAAATGTCACTTAGTGTCATGGAAACATGTACGATACGTTTTAAAGGTGGGAGTAGAAAAAAATATTTATTTGGGTTTTCGTCTTATTTTGACTTGCTCAATCTTTTCCTAAATTTATGCCAATAAGTTTAGGGACACCTTGTATATAGTATCAATGATTGTTAACGGGCAATGTTAATGGTGAAAATTACGTCCAAAATGTTTATTGGGATGGTTACTTTATTTTCGTATAGATGTCACTTTATACCAATTGATTAATTTAAATTATTTTTAGATAATATTAAGTATTTGTCGTAGAAAAAGTATAGTATGCAACTCATTTATAAAATTTTCTAGGCACTCATTTAATTAAGCACTTGCTCCTGCCTGAATTAAATTCGTGACTAAAATGACGTTTATCAGACTTGATACATAATATACTATTTTAATGTAACAAAACAACATAAAGGTAATTTTCTGGGGACCAAAAATATTTACCTGACTGAAAGCTCTATTAACTTTTTGGCATATGTGTAAAAAATAATTATCTAGGTGTAGTTTTGCCAAGTTAAAAAGATCAAAGTAGTAAATAAACACATATAAAATTTAATAGGTGAAATATCTAGGTTAAACATACCCTGTAAAAATAGTTATGCTTTATGGGTTTTCTTTTTTAACTTCCAGATATTGAGTTGCGATTGTTTTTCCAAAGGTTTATGAGTTTGTAGGACAGAAGATTTTTAAAATGTTGTTTTGAAAAAAATTGTTGATAATAAAAAAATTATGATGATTTCAAGTTTAAAATTTTTGAAACAAAATACATCTATTAACCATGCTCCCTTTTAATTTTTTTTGTTACCATACCTAAGAAATTTTGTTTTAACAAATGGTTTATACAATTTAATAATTTACCAAGTGAAATAAAGTATTGTGATAATTTTAATACGTTTAGAAAATTGTTAACTAAATCTATTATCTTAAAACACTAATTGTGATCCCCATTAATATACTGTATTTGTTATATAGTTTTTACATTATTCTATCTTGTTATTTTATTGTGTTTTTCACCATATATTATTCCGTGTTATATTTTTATGTTTTACTTTTTTATTTATATCTTTTTCTTTATGTAATGTTTTTTACAGCGAATCTGCTAAATAAAGATTATTTATTATTATAACAACCACTATTATTATAGGTGGATTATTTTAGTTTTTTTTTAATTTAACTGCTTTATAATAATTATAAAACGTAAGTTCCTTAATATTTCGTTTGAAAAACTTACTGAGGTAATGTTCCCACTCTTTATGGCTCTTGAACCTCAAGCGCCTGGGGCGCCTTTCCAGGGTCGTGGGCGGCGATGAATCGAAGGTCACCGTCTTCGGCGAGGGCGTGCGCGTGCGCAGTTTGACACTCATGCCTCCGGATGCACCAGCGAGTCGACCGAACGTCAGTTTGACAAAAACGACGGTAAAGAAGAGGAGATTGTATCGCGTATTTGGAAGAACCCCGGATGACTAACGGTGGCTCCCGTGTTTTGGCAAAAGCGTTGCGTCAAAAATCCGCGCTAAAAATAGAGCGCTCTACCGGCCACCGGTGGCCGAATTTCAGACTCCACCTTAACCTATTACGTAGCGCGGTCAATCAATTTCAAGATTTTATTTATGATATATTGAAGCTGGTGTATGTTAAGTTTTTATATTATGAATGGTTTCATTCAGTTGATATTTTTTAGCGCCCAGTTGCTACGCATTGCGGTTAATGCCAAGTTCACAAACTAAACATTGTAAACAACAACAAAATACAGGGTGTCCCAGAACTCGCGCCACAGAGAGAATAAATTTTTTTTGGGTAATAGTTTGATGAAATGAGAGCAAAACAGCGGCAGCAACACCGAGAGCTCTTGTTAAGAAACGATAGAACCTTTTTGTCTTAAAACTTTAAAAATCTTTTGTCCGATTGAGTTTACTAACCTTTTTAAAAAGAAAGTCATACTTACAGGACGCCAATGTTTTAAAGAAAAAATTAAACAACAAGTTCTTTACCCCAGAGCCAACGGGGAACGGGAAATTCGCGTACAACTTCCCTTATGCTCTTACTTTTTCTCTGTGGCGAGAGTTCTGTGAAACCCTGTATATATGCCACATTTTTTTTTATATACAGTGTGACCCATTTGTTTGCCGCTCACCCCTGTCAAATCTTTATTTATTGTGCGATTTTAACCGGATTTGTTTTAAAGTGTAGATTTTGATAAACTGTATATTTGAAGCAAAAAAAATATATATAAAATAAATAATACTTCTGAGAGTCAATTTTTAAGGAATTATATTAGCGATTTAAAAAAATCTATGCACGGCACTGGATTCACCACACCTCAAAACGATCATATACTTAATTTTATTGAAAAATTTTAATTAGGAACAATTTTGTAGCTAAATTAAAAATGCACAGTAATTACTATTCACCCTAATATAACAAGGTTGTATGTTAAAAAACCGAAAATTTTGAGTTTATGCTTCTACAAGGTTTTATGTAATCCACCCTTGACATACAACTTAAAAATAACTCTATATATATGTATACACAGAATATACATTGATAATAATATAGAATTATTTTTAAGTGGTACGCCACGTATAATCCTGTAGAAACATAGACTTAAATTTTTCGTTTTTTTTTATATTAGGGTGACGTATTTACAAAAATTTATTCTGTCAAGTTATCCATGAAAACGCATTGAAATCAAATTAAACTTATAGTAAAATGGTATAAATATTCTTATACTTTATTTTTAAAAATAAGAAACGCAAACAAAAAATAGAGAATTCCAAAAATTCCCTACAATAAGATTTTTAATACAACTTAATAATTCTTAAAAATAAACATTTTTAAATGGCATTTTTATACATTATTTATTCTAAAAGTCAATTGACCTAAGTTATCCATGAAACAGTTTATACCATGTTACTATTAGTTTAATTTTATTTCAATGTTTGTTTGACATAATAAATTTTTGTAAATAGTAACTATTGTGCATTTTTAATTTGGTTACAAAATCGTTTCTACTTAAAAAATTTTAATAAAATTTAGTATAGGGTCCAGTGCCGTGAATAGATTTTTTTTAACGCTGTGGCTCCCGTCCCGAGGCGGGACTTAAGTTCAGTCCCGATTGACGTCATAATTTTAAGATTTGTTATGTTATAATAAAATAATAATAATAATAAATTGTACCTGTATACATGTTAAGGGTACGTTAGTTACGTCATAAAACCATACCAACCCAAACTCAACAACACAACCCAACCGACCCCGCCCCATTGGGCCCCCCCCGCCCCATTGAGCAAAAAACCCAACTAAAATGGGCAAATTTACGTTACGATAAAAATAAAACACTTTTTAACAAAGAAACAACAAATTTATAAAATAAAAAAAATAAAAAAGTTTGACAACTTCTAGTAGAATCGAACCAGGTACCTCTCGCATGCCAAGCGACCGCCCTACCATCTAAGCCATCCAGCTTGACACCAATTATAAAAGCTCGGGGAATAAAAACGGATTTACAGTGTGTGATATTTAATAAAAACTAAAGGAGTTTGACCTACAATTTTATTGTGTTTTCATCTTTCATAATTAAGTAGATATTACAGCTCAGGTTCCAGATTTTTAACCGCAATTAATTATTTTTTACAATGTTTTAAAAGTCTAAAACCTATCATCCGTGATTGTTACTCTTATTAGTTTAACCTATATGTTTTCAAATATATGAGGTAGTAAAAGTATACTAAAAATATCAGTTCACTAAGTAAATTAAACACATCCAAAGCAATCGAATAAAATATAAAATATTATTGAAAATTAAAATAAATAATTTTTATAACCATGTATTTAGGTGTTACAAAAATTGATTCTATCCTCCGTGAATCTGTTTTTGCTTTACATTTTATGCAACAGATGGCGCTTTAATCATTTTAATTAAGCATAAATCTCTGTTTACGACATTATAGATGCATGTGATTCCTGAAGGTCAGTTAGAATTTATATGCAGATGAGAGTGTTGCTGTTTTATAATTAAATTTTTTTTTATAAATATTTTATGTATGTACAATTGTATTTTTAAAAAATATTAAGGTGTCAAAAGATACAATATTGTTATTTAACTTATTTCAAATATACAAAGCGATGTTTTAAAAAAACATACGAAATCCTAACCTCCGTGAAGCTATCTTCCGTGAAGCTCTAATATTCAAAATGTATAATTTATTAAAATTCTTGCATTAGTGCAGAACCACTTATGTTATGTTATTACTGGACCTGGTGGCTTCCCAAAAACCCCATTCTAGTCATACAGTGAAACAACCAAAAATAAAAAAATAATCACTTGGGGGACATCTCAATATATTTATACTAATATGAATTCTTAAAAAATTACTTTTAAAACTGACATAGGCCTTGTATTTTATAAAAATACCTTTTTTTGCTCCAAAAATACATTTTATCAAGTTCTACACTTTCCGGTCAAAATCGCACAATAAATAAAGATTTTACAGGGGTGAGTCACAAACAAATGGGCCACACTGTAAGAAATCGGTAGCGGAAGAAAATATTTCTAGATGTAGTAAAACGCGGTTTTTATTCTTTTAGGTTAGAATTTCTAAAACGCAGCACATCCTTCGGTGAGGTCGTATGATTTTAACAATAAAATGTGGAACTGCTGAAATAAATTCAACCGTACTTTAAATCTCCTAATTACACTCGCAATTAAACAATAAACCACTTCTGGTACTATTATCAAAAACTGTCGAGATCGTCTAGTGTCTTTTCAAGCCGACCGTTTGCCGAGAACTAATTCTTCGCGATAGCCCATGACCCGAACAAATAGTTTATCTATCATCTCCATTTAAATGTAATTGATGGCACCAAAGCATGACCCTCGAAGTCAATAAATTTTGGGATAGGACTGAGGCTTGTTAGCCAGATTGTTTTCGATACGCTTCAATAAGCCTCAATCATGATTAAGGCTAATCATGACAAATTTGTTTGCGCGTTTGATTCAGAATTTTAAAAGGTTTGTAGTAATAAGATAAAAAAGGATGGAAAGCTATTGTTAAAAAACAACATAATGTAATGAAAATTTAGAATAATTTACATTTTAAATATTTAGAAAACACCAAGTAAAAAATAAATGTTTTTAGCCATCACCCACTTAAACCCATAAACTAGTCCGCCGTTAGATAACGAAAAGGTTATAATTTATAAATTCTCAAAGCCAATTATCCAGGATGGATTGTGCAAAAACATAGAATTATGAAATGTGTATATGACAAATTTATATTTGGATTTTGGCCGGCATTCAAATTAGCCATGCTTCCGGTTCAGTAAAAAAAATAGATCACAGAACGAAAAAGTTTAAAAGTAGAACACAAACTGAGTGAAATGAAAATGGGAGACAGACCTTTAAGCTGCTGGATGGTAGGCATTATTTTTTATGATAAGAAGAAGAGAACTATCACTAAAAAACAACACTTAATCTAAACAAACACTCTAGAACTAATATTGGTTTTCACTATTAGCAGGCTGAATGAAGGTTGACACCTCCACACAAAATACTAAAAAGGTAAATGTTGAATTAAAAATAATTATTTCATTACCGTTCATTATATAATTAGAAACGGATCTTAATTGTTTAAAAAAATATAATGCTCTATTTTATTAAATGTATTCATAATTTTCTATTGTTTAATATAAATGGTTTTATTATTTAATACACCTACACTATTCAATATGAATCGAATATTCATTGCTATTAAAAGCCCATCCCACGATAAACAATAAAATTTCTATAAAAGACTAGGAGATGGTTTAAAATAAAAATGCAAAGTTTTATTCAAAATACTTCATTAAAACATAATCAAAAACACATGAAACAATTATTGACCGTCCTCCTCTGAAAGATCATCCCGATAATGAAAATTCAGCTGTGTGGGAAACTTTTCTATTAAAATCTCCAAAACTCTCTTTTGTATATCTTCCACGACATCTGGAGGTGTATAATCGTCTTCACTGGATCTAGATATGGTAATCACTACTGGGCGATCTCTTAACAAATCAACAAAATCTTTGAAGCAACCCATCATTTTATCAATTTCCTCCTTGGTTGATGGGTGATGTGGCAACTCTGTATTATCGCAGGTACAACCGGCATCATGGACCAAAGTCCAGTCTATTTCCCCATCTTCGTAGTGTTCCAAAATTTTTGAATGTAGTTCTTTGATATCTTCCAGTAGACTGTTGGTAGTATTTGGTATTTCTCTGTTTTCTTCCAGATGATTGAAGATTTCTTCCAGTTCTTTTATTTGTTTATCTCTAGCTTCGGAGGATTCTTGTATGTCTTTGTCAGACGTGGTTTTTGGTGGAGGGAAATCATAGATTTTTTTGAGCCGCTCATATGCGTTTGCTTTTTCATAAAGAGCCTTAAAAGGGTTTTTGGTGCTGAAGAAATCTAAATCTACATCAAGTATGAAAGGATTTTTATAACTTTCCGTTATTTTAGGTGAAGCTGTATTGTTATCACCCCCTAACTCAACTACCTCCAAAACAACCTCTTTAATATTCTCCAAGTTGTCTTCATGACAATACAAGCATTCAGAAATAAAATAATTCTCCTTGCAATTCAACCGTATATACCCGGTACTTTTTTCTTTTCCAATCAAGAATGTTTGCGCTCCATGGTCCATCTGTTTCGCCCATGGCGGTTTGACCCACACCAAGTGCTTAAAATGCCCGCCATAACAGGCCGGCAACATCCAATTCTCTATACTGATTTCATCGAACAACTTCTGCTTCTCGTACACAAAATCGGCCGGCATATATTTTGGTATAAGCATATCTGGGTGAGAATCGAAATGCACGAAGGTCGTTCCTTCGACTGGTAAATGTCTCGAGCCTATGTCGCGGTATATGAACGGTAAGACTTCATGGTGGTTTTCCACAATGTGAACCGGCACCATTTTTCGGGTTTTCAGTTTCGAACCTGGTGAATAATAAAAACTTGATGTCATTTAGGTTTGGATATGGTACACTTCAAACACTACACAACACCACACTAATACATTAATAATCAATAAAATAACAATACAAAAATTTTAAAATATAAACTACAAAATTTAATGAATGAAACCGATTAAAAGTGGTAATTAATATAGGCAACCCAGATAGCGCTTCTACTTGAATTTGTTAAAATGGTCTCTTTTATGTGAAACAACATTGTACTCAAAATAGACCACGTAATAGAAGTTGTATATCCCATCGACTTTTATGAATTTCCCAACAAATTTCTTATCGCACATGTCAGTTTAACTTATTATTAGTTTTTTGTTTAATAAAATAAATCAGTACCCATCCTTCCTTAAGGTGCCAATAGTAGGGACATTTACATTAATATTTCGATAAAATTAATTTGTTTATTTATTGTAACAGGTATTAAATTACCTTAAAATAAAATCTTGACCTGTCTACGCAATAAATAAAACTTGGCAACATTATAAAATTTATTTTTGAACGTAATGACGATATTTTTGTTAATTTTGTGAAATGGGTGGCTTTTAGAAATAGAATTATATTGACGTAATATTATTAAATAATATTAATTGTGTTTATTTATTATTTTATAGGTTTTAAAACATAGTAAAAATTTATTGGGATATTTTTGAAAATATGCATGTTATAAAAATAATAAATTTTTGATGGGGATATTTTTATTGGTTTATTTAAGTTTTAAACTACATAAATAAAGAAGTATATTTTTATTGTCTAAAATATGTAAACTTTTAAATTTTAATGAAACATTTTACTATTTTGATTAAAACTTTGGGGGAACCACTGGTTTTACATTATTTACTTTTTTTATAAAAAATTTACGCTGACATTGTGCAAGTGAGAGTAATTGCCATAAATTAAATATGCATGCTTTAAATTTAAATTTTCATCGTGTGTAAATAAGATGATGTCATATTATCCACTATGTTTCTAATATTTGAATAAAAAACATTTGATCGCAAAAATTAAAATTTAACATGAAATTAAAATTGACGTTAATTATTTCAATTTTCTTGAACACCTACGGTCCAACAATAACATTGTTTGTATTCAGAATTTTAATTGAACTATAAAGGAATCTTTACTGCATTACAAGTAGTTATGCCTACGATTTTATAGGTTTAAATTTAACAATTTAATACCCATGCGTAATTTGTGAATTTTTTATTGTCGAATAAAATCTTTCTATAGAATTTTACTGTTCAAAGGCATCAAGATTAAGTAACTATTTAGATTGTTTTGGAAAGGTTTTTTTTAATGTCAAATTTAGATAAATAAAGTTAGAGATGCCAAAAATAATCTAGCAACAGTGCTGTCTTAATCACCTTTGGCATCATTACACCTTCCCGAGGTCCAACTTCCTGATACCCACACTCTATAAATATTACACCAAAGAAGAAAAAACCCGAAAGTTGACAACCTTTCGGTGCACAAAGAAAGAAGACGTCTGCATTATAAATAAACGGTGGCGGTCCAACTGTCTTCGAAAATAGAACGCGACTATTATGAATTTATGAGTGCATATTTATAAAGTGGTGTGGATATTGGGTAGGAAGTGCATTTACTCTGAAGTGTAATTAAGTGGATAGACGCCTAATCGCGCTGGCGGCTCATTAAAATTACAGCGATTGGTTTTACGAGAAGACGAAATGGCTAACGGGCGAAAATATCGCGCGTGATTAGGGTTTTATTGGAATGGGATAAAAGCAATAAAAACGAATGGTAATAATTTTAAAATTTAATACTTATTGCTATAACTTTGGGAAAACTTACTTAAAACTTAAACACTGATTAATTTATTTGTAAACCGAGACGTCACGATGTTATATTGGTAGGTATAATAGGCGTGTCAAGTTTTACGAATGAACAAAATTCTGTCAAAGTAACTATCTTTTTACTTGTTATAATAGTATATTATGTATCAAGTTTGATAAACGCCATTTTATACACGAATTTAATTTAGGCACGAGCGAGCTTGCGAGCGAGTGCTTAAGTTAATGAGTGTATAGAAAAGTTTATAAACGAGGTGCATACTATACTTTTTCTACGACAAATACTTATTATTATGATTTAAATCAAAAATTTGTACCTATAGAGCGCCATCTATGAAACAACAGGGGAAACTGTCAAATGTCACATTTTTACATTTTATAAACACAATATAAAGGTTATAAATCGAAATGTATCTTGAAAATTGACAGTTTTTTACAGTGAAAGTAAAGGAAATGTTTTATGAGGACTTTACAGTAGAGTCCGTGCCCGAATTTAAGTTATAGTTTACTGCCGGCGAAATTAAAAGGTCAGTACAATGTTCATATAAACTTTTCAAGTATTGGCGTTGAGAAACTATTTTTGTATTTTTGTATTGAGATAATAAAATTATTTTCACATTTAGTATTATTTTACAAGAAAGGCACTTTATTTTAACGATTGTATAACATTTGACAACTGTCAACTAACTTAAAACTAACTTCAGTGACTAAAAACCTGTTGCTAACTTCAGCCCGTGACTAAAGAGTCGTAAAGCCACAACTTGTCAATGTGTATTTAAAAGGTCACTTAGTGTTATGGAAACATGTACGATAAAGGGCGTTTTAAAGGTGGGAGTAGAAAAAACTATTAAAAGCGTATTTTGGTATAAAATTTAAAATTTGCATCTCTGGTATCATAGTGGTATGTACTTTTTTTCGATTTCCAAACGATTCCAATACTTTAAAGAATATTGAACACGTCAGACTGACAATTTGTTAAATCCTAAAATTCATACCTACATTTTATTTAAACTATAAAAAAGCTTTGTGAATTTAACAAAATCAAATTTTTGTTAATTAAAATAACATAAAAGAAGAAAAAAATAAATCATTTTATTACATTTTAATGTTTATATAACATTTTGTTGATGCCATGGTAAAAAATTCTGTATTTTGTAAATGTTCTATGTAATTTTTGGTTAATAATCATAATACTTGCTTTATTATATGAATTAAAGGTACTAAATAATATTGTTCATTAAAAAAACTTACATCCTGGAGACGTGCCATTCCTTAATGTGCACTGATAAGGATTCAGGGTACCAGGTACCACTTTTCCGTACATAGACCGATCCATGATACTTATCATAAACGGAACCAAACACAAACAACTGTTTTCCCGATAAACAAAACACGCGGCACGAAGCGCGAAATTCAAACAAGTGTCACTTTGTGCAAATCGCACCAGGCCGTCACCACGAAAACAATTGCCGAACTGACCAATCGCCTGCTACGGAAGCAATCACGTGTCGCGTGCGAGGTCCCGACGACATCGGGAACGCGTTCAGATGTCTGGATTATTTTTATTTTGTTCTTCGTTTTCGAGTTTCGACGCCTGCGCGTCGATTTTTAAGATAAATTGGACGCGTTTGCCAACTATCCACGAACAAGTGTGAATTAAAACCGGCGTTGTGTTGTAAATAAAAATGTGATGCTGCTGTGTGATGTTTATTAATGGAATGACTTAATGTTGTATCGTATTTAATTGATTTTAATTTGTTTGCGCATAATCGCAAGATCGTGAATTTTCTCTATACCATACTTAGTTTTAATGCCAAAGTTAACTTTGTATTTTATTATTAGCCTTTAATAACTATTTATAAAACGTTTTAATAATGTCAAGTTGCTTACAAGTAATAAAATTGTAACAAAACAAATTTTAGAAATATTTTATGTTTTTTTATATAGGATGTCCAAAAAATGACGCACTAAGGCGATAAGTAATTTTCAAAAGTGATTTTTTTATATACCTACCTAAAAAGATTTTAATGGCGTTTCAAAAAGAAAAAGGTGAAGTTTTCAGAAAATACATAAATTATTAATTAATATTAATAACTACAATTTACAGAGTGTTCAGCTTTCCTTTATAAGCACGAAAAAATCTTAAATCGCATTAAAAAAAAATAAAAATTTAAATATTGTAAATCGTAGGTAATAATTTAAGTCTTGCTATTTAAAAATAAAAAAAATATTTATTTGTAATAAAAAAGTTATATAAATATAGGTATTTGCAAAAGCGGTGCTTTTTGACCAGTGTACAATGTTGCCAAAATTTATAACTCGAAAACTACACATAAAATAAATTTGTATGGTGCGCCATTTTTGGAACACCCCGTGTATAAACTGTAGAAATACTTTGCTATATTTTTAACGAAAAATAAACTTAACAAATTTTTAAGCAAAAATAATTGTTTAATTTGCAGTATATACCGGGTGTTTGTATAAAGGGTGCACCAAGTAACTTTCTATGCAAGGGTATCTTTTTTATTTGAGGGTTAGTTAAATTTAAAAAAAAGGTTGCGTATGATGGCATTTAAAAATCGGCGGTTTTCAAATTTAAAAAACAAACTGAAAACCTTTCAAAACAAAAAATCGTTATTCCTGGGAATTTGGGAAAAAAGTTTTACATGTAAAAATACACATTTATCTACATTTTTAACCAATTAGTGATTTTTTTGCCCAATATGGCCGTCATACAGGAATTTTACATGGTTAAATAAAAAAAAATCAAGGGAGCCAACCATGAAATAACATTTTTGGGGGCCATTATAAAAACAAAAGGTGGCGATGGTAACTTAAAATATATAGTACGTTCCAGATAAAAACTAAGTAGACGTCGCTGCAAAGCGAGATAGGTTTACACAGGAGAACGCGGGAAATTTAAATATAGTACTCATATTATTATATATAGCGGTTTAATTGGACAAAAATAACTTCTATCCAATCAATGCTTAGTTCTTATCTGGAACATACTATAGTAGCGCAGGAAGTTAGTAAAAACGTTCTAAGGTTACTTATAAGGATATAATTTTTGGTTTTGAAAATATTTTGAGAACCGCTGGCTTTTTTTCAAATTTATAAATTTTATTTTTAAAGGCTTGTAATTACGCAACTTTTCTTTAATTTAACCGACCTTGTAGCTCTCCAAATAAAAAAAATACTCATAGATGTATACCCTGTAAATTAAAACAAAACTATGTTCAGAAAAATAACACTAATTGAATCGGTAAGTACAGTACAAGTACAAAATTTAAAATTTTGACAAATTGTTTTATAAAATTATTTTTGTAGTTTAAAATTTTTGTGAGAATGTTTTAACTATTGTACAAAATTTTTGTGAGAATGTTTTAACTTTTGTTCAAAATACCTATGGTTATTATATGTATTTTATAAATTATTTTCTATTCTCAAAAAAATGCATTTTAAACTAAAAAAATTATTTCATAAAATAACTTGTAAAAAATTTAAATTTTGGACTTCTACTGATTTTGAACTCACCAATTCAATTATGTTTCACTATTTTGAAAACTAATAAAATTATAGTTTTTATAATTTAAAATCACTAAACAAATTATTAAAAAAGTGTTTCATGTATGATGATCAAATGCTGATTAAAAAATCACTTACAAATATCACTTACAAAAAACAATATTATACACATCGATAAGTATCTACTTTTAAATACAAACAAATTACCGAAAATCAACAAACAACTTAAACTTCACCAAATTCAACTACTCGACGTTTTAAGGCGACTTAAAATAAGTAACACATGCTCGCGTACGTACGTAATTTTACACATTACCTACGAATAAATAAATCAGCAAAATCCCACCGAGAAAACAGCGAATCCCTTGTTGGTGTATTTCTTTACTTCATGGCGAACGAGGATCAAGCGAGCTGTGTCAAGGCCCTGTAAGGAACCGCACTTTTTCCTTTTTTTGGGTACGTACTTTTTGGTCTGCCCATATGCAAATTTGAGTTGATGTATGATTAATTTATGCTTTATAAGGAGTAGACAATGATTGGATTAAATAAAATTAAGAAAATAGTTTGAAGAACTTGACTACTCTTTTTGTAGTAGGTATTGTGAGGCACACATTCACAAACATTTACAAAGTTTTTAAGTTACATTTGTATTTATACGCCATTTTTTGGTTTTATTAAAAAATAGACATTTAAAAACAAATATTTAAATGCAAGAAAATTTGTAAAAATACCATCTATGGTTTCTTATTAATGAGTACCTACCTAGATAAAATTTTAATAATTATTTACTTATAACATTTGTTTCTGAAATATAATAAATATTTGCCATAATTAACAAAACCAAATAAATATTAATGGTTTACTTTCTAGATTTTCCATAAAAGGGTATGAATTAATATATTGCAGAATAGAGTAGGTAAGTCTAAATAAATATTAATCTAGGTCTTACTTTATTTGCTTTTATTGAATCAGGTTTAATACAACCTTCAATATTTTAAAACAAATAGGTACTTCAACCTAAAATACAATACAATAAGTCATCTAGTTTTTAAATTAAGATATTATATAAGCACCAGATGTCAACTAAATAGTAATTAATGTTATTGGGTTAAAATATTTGGAGAATTTATTGTTAACATTGTTACATCAATACAGATGTTCAAGGCAGCATTGTATTGAATTTTTTATTTTCATAGCTTGGGTTTCAAAAATAAACACAAAAAAATACCGGAAGTGCCTTAAATACGGCCACTTCCTTTTATCTATTTTCAAATACATATAACAAATATAGAGTGCGGTGAATGAGAAACAAAACAAATAGCAAAGTGACATATAAAATGTCAAACTGTTTGACTCAAACATCAAACACAAAAAAATAATATCGCACATCATGTTTATAAATAATTATATAGTTTTCATCTCGAGTAGGTAATAAAGAATGCTACTAAACACCATATTCCTTAAATAAATAATAAATTCAGGTGTAATAAATTCAATAAACAACCTGTTTTAAATTGGCTATAAATACATCTAATTACCCCCAAAATGCTAACGACATAATCAAACAAAACACACCGCTAAAATCATAATTTACAATCATTTGCAAGGTGTTTTCCACCTTGATAACCTTATAGGTTATGTCAACAAAACAAGTTTATAGTAATTTTAAACTCACCGAGATCCTCGTCCATTTTAGCTGCCTTCTTGGATCAATTATATGCACGATAGGGCTGTACTACATGTAATTTTTCGCTGGAGAAACGATAAATAAATGACCTTATATGGTCATGTTGTTTTGCCAATTTCTTCTGGATTCTGCGTAGGCAACCAGACGTACACCAAAACGAGTTCGTCAGCGGTACTTAAACGAGTGATTTAAAAAAGTATGGTGGGGATTTAATTTTACCCAAATGTTAAAGAAATCCCCTACAGGTAACAGGTTTCAATACGGATGTAATTCTAAGATTATTTTTATGATTTCAATATATAGGTAATACCCAGAACTGGATAATCTCATTATTTTTGGTTAAATCTGCAAAAAAACAAAAGAAATAAAAGGATGTTCCCAAAATGGCGCTATACAGGGTGTCCCAAGAATTGCAAAGGGTGTAGGTACAGTTTCTTTTTTTTTAAATCTGGACTCGTGTGTTTTTGTTTAGGTTGGTGGCTTATGCCAGTTTGACTTAGTATTTTTAGTATTTAAAAATGGTACTTCTGCTAAAGAATTTAATTAAATATATTTATAAGTATACTTTGACACTGTCAAATTGACAATAATATTTATTATTGATAATTTACTTGTCAATTATAAATAAAAAGAGAATTATGCCAAAAATAATGGCAACGAATTCAAATGTAAAAGCCCTTTCGGGGGCAAAACTTCATTTTGATGAAATTATGCCAAATGCCGCAATGGAAGAAAAAGTACATCACCTTATGGACATTTTTGGAGTAAAAAAGTAACGAATTTGATTTTATAAATATTACATCACACATTATTTTCACATTGGACAACATTTACGTTCACAAAAAATTTTAATTTCTCTTATATAAATTCTTTTCAAAGCGATGATTATTATCCGCTAGGAATACTTTCTCTTCTGGGCCGTAAAGCAACCTATATTTAACTACTTTTTTTATATGATTTTACTCATCCAAGCACCACCAAAGCCAAATTAATTGCATTTTTAACTACGAATTTCGACAACTCAACTTGACAACTGCACAATGCAACCCACAATAATTAATACATAACCACAATTAGATCTATAACTAGCTTAGTTTGTTTTAATCAATGCGACCAACTTGACAACTGTATTTACCAACCAAAATCCTAAATTTGCAGTCCAGATGAAAAAAAATGAACTTTATAATAAAACATTTTTCCAACAAGTACCTATAGGTATACCTATAGGTAGTTAACAATTAATTAAGAGTGTTTTTGCTCTATAGGATGAACCCCGCCTTTTGACACATTTTACCTATTAAGGCATGAAAATCATTTCTACCTACATTTAATTTATACATTCGAAGAAGCCGTCATTTGATAGAGCAGAATTTCGGGTCACCCTGTATATATGATGCACACTATCTTTATATTTTTATATAATTTGACCCGCGAACACGGTTAATCCCCTTGCATAGACTGATAATTTAATAACACCATAACACAAACTGAATGAAATTTATTAACAAAGGTTAAGGCAGACCGTTGGCGTGTTTTTATTATAAACAAATTATCAATACATCGCTCTTATAATCCAAATTAATTTTTATCGGCTTCTTTTTCGTTTAAAATCTGCCATGATGACCCAATTTTGTTTGGCCATTGTAATTTGTGTGTTAGTTCACGTTATACAATGCGGTAAGTACACAAATATTTGGTTTATATATTATATTGGTTAATTTTTACCTTGGTAATATGTATTTTAGAGGACCCCAAAACAAGCCTAGAAATGGTAACAAAATCGGAATGGGGTGGACGTACAGCATTCGAGATAGATTACGTAATAATTCCCGTTAAAAATATCGTTGTGCATCACACTGTTACCCCGAATTGCCACAACAAACTAGAATGCAGCCAAACTCTACAAAATATACAAAATTTTCACATGGAGGACTTGGAATTTCATGATATTGGATACAAGTAAGTAATCAGCGCATTTAAACCAAAAAAGGCTCTTATTGCGCATCATGTTTTAAACGCCTATATTTGCAGCTTTTTGATTGGTGGAGATGGCAGAGTATACGAAGGAACAGGCTGGCATAAAGTAGGCGCTCATACCATAGGCTATAACTCAAAATCTTTGGGCATAGCCTTTATAGGTAACTTCTCAGGTAATTCAAAATGTATAGGTGATTACAGCTTAATTTTGTTGCCAATCGTTTCAATGACCTCCAATATCTCCAGACCTAAGTTTGTGATGGTATTTAAGGGAAAGTGTCCTCTATAAATATAAATATAATATAAATGCAATTAGGGATATGAAAAACTATAACTAGGTATTTTTGTTTTAGATAAATTGCCAAACAGTAAGCAGATGAAAGCTTTTAAAAATTTTCTGGCATACGGAGTAAAAACAGGAGAAATAGATAAGGATTACAAACTATTTGGAGCCAGGCAAGTAAGCGCTACACAAAGTCCAGGACTTAGATTGTACAGAGCTATACAAAAAATGCAACATTTTGTGAATTTGTAATTACCTAGGTATATAAAATACAAATTTATATAAAGTTATGCAAGGATTAACTTTCTTTTCTAATATTTTTATACCAATATATTTTTACATAAAACCATAATTTGTCTATTATTTACCATCAAACCTCAATTTTGAGTAATTTAATAAAAGCCCCTTAAAGTAGGCAACCCCTTTATAATAATGTAATGTGGGTTGCTTATTCTCCACCGGGATATTTAAGGTTAGGAAAATATAAACATCGTTTAAAAAGCTACCACACTCTTTTTCGTCTCATTTAAACACAAAAAATGCCAAATTGGAACCAAATTCAGGCCCAACTTCGGCACCCGGCTAATCCCGTAGTGTTTTTCGATGTTTCTGTAGGGACAACAGTAAGTTTTAATAAAATAATCTAACTTTGCTTTTTTTAACATTTTTTGTTTGTAGGAGATAGGTCGTATGATTTTCGAGCTATTCGCCGATATAGTCCCTAATACGAGTGAAAATTTCCGTCAATTTTGCACAGGGGAGTTTAGACGAGATGGAGTTCCGTTGGGGTTTAAAGGAGCCAGTTTTCACAGAGTTATTAAAGATTTTATGATTCAAGGAGGAGATTTCGTTAATGTAAGCCCAGATTATACAATAAATAAGTAAATAATACAAACAATTTTAATTTAAGGGTGATGGCACAGGAGTTATGAGCATATACGGGGGTGCCACATTCAATGATGAAAACTTTTCCTTAAAACACGACTCACCAGGGCTTCTTTCAATGGCAAACAGCGGTAAAGACACGAACGGTTGTCAATTTTTTATAACCTGCGCAAAATGTAATTTTTTGGACAGCAAACATGTGGTTTTTGGCAGAGTGATAGATGGACTTCTGGTAATGAGAAAAATAGAAAATGTACCCACAGGACCCAATAATAAGCCCAAAATACCTGTTACTATTATTCAGTGTGGTCAAATGTAGATTAGTTGTGATTTTTTGTAATAAATTTTATTAAAAACTTTTGTTTATTATTATTATCAATTTTACATAAAAATAATTCATTAAAATCTTGAAATTTAAAACAAGTTACTAAATTTAAATTCTGGCAGCACTTCCTAAAAGAAAATCCCTAGATTTGTCAATTCAACAGTGTTGCCAATCACAAAATATGAAATTACCCCCATCCAGTACTGAAAATCCTCACATTTTACCCGCCTTAATTTGAAAATCCTCACAAAATCCTCCCAATTAAAAAATGTTAAATAATTTTTTCGAGTTTTGTAATAGGTATTAAATAATTGTGAAAGGGTTAGTTAAATTGTAGAAATAGGTACCGTCAACTGGGGCTACATTGATAATTGTGGGGCAACTTTGATTACACATGTCAGAACTTTTATTTTTTTGAATTACTGCCCTAGAAAAAATTTTTTGGCGCGCTTTTACCCATCATATTACAGTTGTCACACGTTAACGAGGGTGTAAACATCGTGGTGAGTTTTGCCGCGGTTCTCGTACTATAATGTAATAAAGTTTACTTTTTTGTTTTTATATTTTATAAAGCTTCAGAAATTTCTAGTATACAGCATGATCAATAAAAGCGTATTTATTTCTTAATTTCTGGTTGTTTTTTTACGCAAATATGTTATTTTTAAAGTAAATAATTAAAAATTTTAATTTTTTTAAATTTATATTATAATTGAACGGGGTTTCATTACTTATAAGAGCAAAATTAAGGCATGATCAAAGTTGCCCCAAATAAAGTAAAACTTTGATCGGGGCCATCTTTTTTTTTTATTTTTCTTAAAATATAGTGAATGCCAAATAAGGTTTTAGATTAATGAAAGTGATACCGCTACCTTTACCTCTACCTTTACCGCTGCCTCTACCGTTACCTTTAAAACTATAAATCCGGCTTAATTCATACATTGTTTTCCTATAAGAAACATTCTTGGTTGCATACCTTTGTAAGAATATATCATTATTTTTACGTCTTTAATAAGTTTTTTCAAGAAGAAAAAATACGAAATCCTCACAAAATCCTCACATTTTACCTAACCCTCACAAATTCCCCACAAACGCATAAAATCCTCACAACGTGAGGAAATCCTCACACTTTGGCAACACTGCAATTCAACATAACCCAACTTTTAAGTTAACCTCATTTTTATGTTGTTTTCCTTCTTATAAATCATGGATAATCTAAGAAATAATATAATAGAACACTTAGGAGAGTTGGAGTGTTGCGATAGATGTATATTACAACATATTTTATTATTAGAATCTGAGAACTTTGCAAATCCTCAGAAATATTTTGAAAAAGTATGTATTTCTACAACTTATAACAGCTTAATCATTCTAATTTGTGTAATTTAAGTTACAAACTCAAGAGGATAATAAAGAAACAAACGAAGAAAGTAAGAAAATAAAGAAAAACATATGTCGATTATGTTTGGATATGTTAACAGATTCATCGTTGGATACCTTTGTTGAAGCAATAGAAAAATCCAACATAAATGTCTACAAAACAGACGATTTTTATGTAAATATAACATACCCCAAAAGTGTTTATATAAGAAAACACGCTATTACATTATATTTAGACGAGAAATATCCGGAGTTTTATAAGGATAGTGCACCCTGCGAAATTTTTAGTAAAGTTTTCAAATATTCAATTAATAGGAAGATAAGTGAGAAGTTAAACAAAAAACAGTCCCAAAGATCTAATTTTGAGATTAATATTGATGTGGGTTATTCAGATGATGAACAAGTTAGTATTTTTACTTTTATATCTTTTATGGTGAAAAAATAATAACTTTTATTTGATTAAACAATCACAGTATGGCATTCTCCACAGTACACTAGATTGTGAAAGAGAATACAGTGCTCTGATTGGTTTAAGTATTGTTTTATGTAGAAATAATTTTGAATTTTAGGATGTTCAAAAATTCATCAACTTGGATAAATCAAAGTTTCCATACAGTAATAAACAACAGTATAAACATATAAGTAGGAATATAATAATAGAAGTCTTAAATAAGGTTTCCAAAGACCAATTTAGGAAAATTTTTCCTGGGATACCTGCCATACCAAATAATAAGGCAGAAATAAATGTAGTTAAATGTTTGGCAGCACCTATTTTTGTGGGTGGTAGATATTTAAAGTTTTCCAGGAAATTATGTCAAACCCCGTGGATTATAGGAAAAGTAAAAGTTGTGGAGTTAAGCGTTCAAGATATAATTTTTGATGCAGTTGAGAAGTACATTGGGAAACAGGAAAAAATGACTTTTTCCTCTAGTGGCAGGGAAGATGTCGATGTTAGAATGTTGGGAAATGGAAGGCCGTTTTATATACAAATCGATAATCCTAAAACAAGGCAAATTTCATTTGAACAATTTCGTAAAATTGAACAGGAAATTTTGCAGAGTAAAGTTTTGGCTGTATTACATATGCAGCTTGTTTATAAATCTGATATAAACCTAATTAAAACTGGAGAAGAAAGTAAAAAGAAAACTTATTTGGCTTTGTGCAACACAAAGGGTACAAATTTAAATGAAATTATAGAAAAAATTAACAATCACGGTCCAGTGGAGTTGGCCCAAAAAACACCTATAAGGGTTCTACATAGAAGAAATATGGATACAAGGACAAAAAATATTTACGAAATGACCGCAAAACCAGTACAAGGTAAAAAAACAAACAAAAAAAATAAAATATTTAAAAAACAAATTTTAGGTCATGAAAATTTATTCGAATTAGAGATGGTCACGCAAGCCGGAACGTACGTTAAAGAATTCGTTCACGGCGATTTTGAAAGAACCACACCAAATTTAGGAACCATTGTTGGTCATGCCTGTGATATAATCACTTTGGATGTCAAAAAAGTCGACCTCAATTGGCCAGAAATAAAAATAAATCCAGAAAATAATTAACATTGAACAAACATAGAGATAGGCGAGCGCACAAGCATAAGGAAAATTACAAAAATCAGACATCCTCAAAATTCCTTATTTAACCCATCCAATGAAGCCCTTTACCATATCACTGGAATACAACCCATACAAGAAAGATTGGAATACCTAGCGAAAAAATTTGCCAACAAACCCGAAAACCTTAATGTGATGGAACCTTTGATTCTTAAAACACAACTCGAGACAACACCAAGGAGAAAATACCCAGAGAAATCGTTGTATGACTCACTCAGGGAATTGACAGAAGATTAATGAAGATTTTAACAATATATTTAATTATAACATTTTTTTTTTTTTTTTTTTTTTTTTGTAAAGTACAGAACATAAATTAAAATATAGTATTTGTTATATACAAAATTGTAATTGGGCAGGAAGACGAAAGTCGTTAGCCTTTTGGATTTCCAATAAAGTTTATTATTATTATTATTATTATTAATTAACATTGTTAAACTTCTTTTTACAATAAATCCTAATTTTTAATTTATTTTTTATTACAAGAAGCTTCTGTCTCTGCTGGAACAAATACATTTTTAACGTAAAACTAATAAACATATTGGAGTGGAGTCCACTAGTAGTGATTCACTAGAGTGGACACGTAACCAAAACGTTAAAATGTGAGCAATGCTGAACCAAAAAATGGCGTAATTGAATTATAAATGAAATCATTCTGTCAGAATGATTCTGAATAAAAGATCCCATATATTCGCATAAATTTGTTTATTTGGGAACTGTTTTAACAAATAAATAGATGTTTTACCTTAAAAAGCCAATTTTGAGTAATAAGGGTAATTTACCTGGAAAAGTTTATTTCAGGCTCTTTATTCTCATTATAACATTTAAAATGGAGCTCAATGCTATTTTAACGAAAACAAAACAAATTTGTCGTTTTGAGGTTATGACAATTAGATTCAGCTTTTGCTTCACTTCGCTTCAATAAGTCAATGGTGAAACCAGTGTTGCCAATGGTGTTGACATAATTTACACACAGATTCTGTCAAAATTCCACAATTTTGCCAACTATTCCACACATTTGGGATATTGGTTTTGTTAGGTTTCTTTGGTGATTACAGCAGAAAGAGTTTCTGAGGTGAATCACCACAAAAACTCTTTCTGCGGTAATTACTGGTGATTACTTAAAGACGTTTTCAAAAACTTACTAGATTACTTACTTTGTCAATAAGTCTGCACATAAATTCGTCCATATAACTAAATAACTAAAATGTGCATTTGCAAATATATCTATTTAAATGCTTGTTATAAGCATTGCTAATTTAAAGATAAAGTTTACACGCAAATTCCACACATTTATGTATTACACACAAATTACACACAACAAAATAAATTCCACACAATGCGTGGATTTCCACGTACATTGGCAACACTGGGTGAAACCAGAGACTCCCTTGTCTCTGGGTGAAACTACTCCGTAGGAACAAAGACTATAGATAAAAAAGGAACAAAGACACCGATCGTAAACAGAAGAAGAAGAAGAGTGGTTTTGACAGTGACGTTTCCTTTGTTGGTTATTTTATTGTTATTTTGCGAAAAAACTTCTTTGAAGCCTTAATTATGGAGGAAAGGGAGAAAGATATAATGTTTAAATATTGGCACGAGCTAGTTAGAGAGTGCGACATTAAAAAGCTTTTTCCCAAAATGATTGAGCTAAAAACAATGACCTGGGAAGATATAAACAATAACTTTTGCGTAATTATTACCTTTAACTTGGTTTATTTTGCGTTTATTGTTAATTTTTAGACCGACGATCAATTGCACAACAATAGACTATTCTTTTTTCACCTACAAGAGAAACATAGGGGCTTTAAAATTTTACTGGGAGCGTTGAGAGAATCGGGGCAGAAAAATATGGCTGAGCTGTTATCACCTAAACCAACAGGATGTATATCGTTTGTAAAACCTATGTATGATATGGTTGATGAAGTACCAAAGTCACCTGTGGTAAAATCCTTCAATGACATGGATATATCCTTTATATCCTCCAACCAACCAAAACCTATTAATACATTGCCTTCTGAAAGATTTTTTGATACTGTTGAACGGAATGGGAAGATAAATTTTTATTCAACAAGGTCCAAGAAAAGAGGACAAGTGCTTATACTGAATAATTACAAGTTTTATAATGAAACGGAATATCCTACTCGAACAGGAGGTAAAGTCGATCAAAAAAACCTAATTGATTTATTTACACAACTCAATTTTAATATTACTGAGCACATTGATAAGACAGCAGAGGAAATGAAGCTTCACATTACAAATTTTGCTAGATATTCCAAAGAGAAAGTTTCTGATATTTGTTTTGTTATTATTATGAGTCATGGGACTGAAATGGGGGGAGATACAGTGGTTTGTGGGAAGGACGGGATAAAAATCAGCAGCAGGTGGATTGAGGAGCAATTTAATAACGAAAATTGCGCATTGTTTAGGTGCAAACCCAAGGTTTTGTTGTACCAAGTTTGTCGGTAAGTTTAATGTCTTAAAAGGAGTAAATTATAACTTTGGTAATTTTAAATAAAAAAAACAATTATTTGTTTTTAAAAGCGTATGGCGCTAAAGAAAGAAAAAACAGTTTTTCCAATAAACAGTTGGAATTTGAATAAACAAATAAATTGCATACAGTCCCTGTAAATATCAATTGTACCTATTAGATACAATAAATGCACATTTAAGTAATGATATACCTAGGTATGTGAAAATTAATAACATTTCAATTCAGTAAAAATTTAAAAAAAAATAATTAGTCTAAATGCAAACAGCATTATGAATTAATAAAAGCGTTAATTGAGAACAACAGTAAAATACCAAAAACATTTATTTATATAAAAATGTTTTAGTTTAAGCCTTAATCTTTAAGGTTATGTTGTATACGCTAAAGAAGTATCGCTAGGAGCCGGAAAATGTTAAAAAAAATATAGAAAAAAAACCGTGGCACGATTTGTTGTGTTATTGGGTGTATTTCGGGAGGAAATCCTGGGTTGAGTGTTTATCGGTTTTCCAATAAACAGTGATAATCCGAATGAAGAAATAAATTTCATACAGTCCCTGTAAATATAAATTGTATCTACTAGATACAGTAAATACACATTTTAGTAATGATTAACTTGAAAAGTAAAAATTTCAATTCAGTAATAATCGTCAAACAAATATGTCGTCTTAATTTAAACAGCATTTAGCATTATTAACAGCGTTGATTAAGAATTCTTTAAAGTCTCCACTCAACGGTAAAATACCATTATATATAATATTATGTTGCCATGAATTCGTAGGTATATTTTGTTGTTTAAAATGCAGTTGTCGGCGTTTTTTAGAGAACTCAAATATAAAAATGGTTGATTTTAAGGTTATGTTTGTGCAAAAATTATTTTGTACTAATTTCTTAAAAATGTCCAAACTTAAATATAAAGTATATTAGGTAAAGTTATCATTAGTTAATTCTGCACCAACAAATTTACTTACTGAATTGGATCCTTTGACAACAGATGAAAATGCAACGATTTAGTTCTTGAATTTTATTTACAATTAAAAACACAATAATTTACCATGATCCCTTAGATAAAATACACACACTAACGTAACTATATAAGCATTTAAGCGTTAAGATTCTTAATTAATGATATAAAGAATAATCAATCGAATCGATTTTTTTCCTTGCAACGTAAAACACAAATAACGTGCGCGATTTAGCTGTACAATTAAACAAAATTTGTCGAGTAAGACTTCTGCTTTCCTCTCTTTTGTGAAAAAACTACCTATTTATATAAAAATGATGTATGCTTTAAATGTATTGTTGACAATTCTTAAATTCACGCAATGCTTTTGAAGTCCACCAGATGGCGCGCGCGTTTCGAAAACCCGATACTTCTTTAGCGTATGATCACTTAAAAAAATACACACACCAACGTGTCTAAATAAGCATATAAAGAATAATAAATAGAAATCGAGTACTATACCAAGCAGTTTTTCATTATTACTTGAACCCGAAACAGAAATAACGTGCGGGGTTAAGCTGTGCAATTGCCACTTTGCGAATGAAATTTGTCTAGTAAGACTAAAAAACTACTTAGGTAGGTATTTGTATTTTCGTAAGTTTGTAAACAATAAATATTTGTGCAATACATTTGTATTTATAGGTTCCTGTATATATTTTGACAATGAATATGCCAGAATATATACAGGGTGAGTACTTTGCATAAACAATTTGATTGACGTTTGTAGTCGTACTTGCAAACTCCCCTCAATAGATGGCGCTACCGACATACTTGCTCACTTACTTGGAAGTATGTGTACTTGCTTAAGCTAGCGTATTTTAATTAATTCAAATAATATTAATGATAATATTTTGTATTATTTTAGTGGTAATGATTTAGATTATAATAAAGGTTACACTCAAACCGACTCGGCCACATCTTCTATCGAATTAACCGACAATTATCATATGCCTTATAGTATGAGGACAGTAGAAGACATGCTTATTGGTTATTCAACATTGATAGGTTGGTATTACTTAAATATTTACAATAATGTTAACCCAGATAACCAGCGTCCTTCCGTTTGCCGGTCAGTTGCCTACTATTCGTTCTCTTGATATGGTAGCCGTTTGCTGTCAAGTGGGTGCCACCATTTGACTGTCTGTAGACAAAAATCTTTTCTAACAATATATTGTGTGCAATCCACCGGCAACCGACGGGAAACCTTTTGCTTATAATTATTGTGGACAACATAAGAGTTTATAGGCGGAAATGTTTCCTGACAACTTATAGTGTGCAACCCACCGGCAACACACGGGAAACCTTTTGCGTATACTGATTGTGGGCAACGGATAGGAAATGATTTACCTATTCAAATTCACTGAATTTGGTGGCAATTTGCCGATAACGAATCAGAAATTAAAATAAATTAATAAATGAAGCGTTGAGAACCAGAGTGGCCTTACCCACAAACATTTATTCTAAAATGGGGTTATAATTTTAGGACAATATATATATATATTTGGGTGCTTTTTTTAACAAAGTTTTTCATTTCCGAAAAATATATTGTCCTAAAATGATTGTAACATCATTTAAGAAAAAACATTTGTGGGTTAGGCCACTCTGGTTCCAAACGCTTCATTTACCTATTCATTTTAATTTCCGATACGTTATCGGCAAATTGCCACCAAATTCAGTAATGCCTCATTTATTGGTATTGTTATTTTAACAAGAGGGTTAGGCGTAAATTTTCATACTCGAATTTTTTCAAACGTCGTTTTATTACAAAAATACCTATATTCACAAAGAAATAAAATATTATAAATATTTATATACACAACAGAATAACCTTATAAGCCGATAATTTATATAATAATAAATAATAATAATAAATGTTCTTTATTGAAAAAAATACATTTTTCAAAAGGCCATTGACTTTCGTCCTTCAGCCGGGAATAATAAATATATTTATTATTATATAAATTATCGGCTTCAAACAGGCGCAGCCTTATGGAATCTTCATTGTTTACGTTTGGATCTCGACGCTTAAGCCTGATTTATAGATTGCCTTTCTTCCTTCCTTCCTTCCGTAGAATATGAACAATACAAAAACCGTTGTGCTTTTTAAAGATTCCCGTACGGGAATCTATAAATGGCACTACGTTTTTTGGTATTGTTCATCTTTTATGAGAGGAAGGAAGGAAGGAAATCTATAAATCAGGCTTTAGCGGTAATACGTTGACGCTGTTTTGCGGCAAAACTTTTGCCACTCGCCGTTACCTCTCTTTGAAGTTCAACACGCGTTGGTGGATCAAAGTTTTTATTGGTACCCACAGCTCCTGCAATAAATATATGTTTAGCAATAAACATATGTTTAGTTTGTATAAAACATTATTTAACATACCAAAAATAGCCCTAACAAGACCAGGGTTGTAAAGGGGATGATTGCCTTGCTCATCCCCCCATGTATATTGCATATCTCGTCGGAGATAAACTTCCTGAACAGTTTATGAATGTGTAAAGGCCCCATAATCAATCTGAAAAATAAAAATAATTTATTAACGCTTGGCTTGACAATTTTTTCAGTCAGATTTTAATTAATAATTTGATAATTTTTTACACTATGGTAAATTTTGTCGTTTCTTGGGAAGCATTTGGTTCTATTAAAATATCCACTAAATGTGTTTATTCACGGCACTTTTTTGATTATCAAAAAATTAAAAAATGTTTAGCTGGTATTGTATACAAATATATTTAAGAGCGATAAAAATTGGTTCAAAAATGCAAATTTTACAAGGGCGGTAAGGTGTGCTTTATAAAAATTTGTTGTAGTAAACTACAACAAATTTTTGTATACAAAAAAGATATTACATTAATTAATTAATTTAAAATTACTGCTATTATAATAGCTTCTGAAATTTTAAATAAATTAATGTTATTTGAATAAAAACCCTTATAAAATTATAATACTTCAAAGAAAAAACTACATCTTCAAAAAATCCTACATTTTTATAGCCTCTATTTAGGTACATGCCGAAAGAAGTTTCACTTCAATATAACAAATTATTTAAAAATTTACTTACGTCTTGGTTTCTTTTTTGTATTTTTTTTTATTTTCAAAGGATTTTTAGATTTTTCCATATGGATATAGGTACAGCTAAAGCTAATAGATAACTATTGCGTGCATAAAACATACCTGATAGATTTCTTGTTAATATTAATCAACACGTCGTACACACACTCGCAGAACAAACCATAAATTATAAAGAACAAATGGTGAGCAACGGTAGCGGGGACTCTCGCGCAAGCGCGGTTCTTTATTGTGGGAAATATGTTGGCCGTCCGTTGCACCTCTGTTGCATACAATTGTTGACTGGAATCTATTGAAAATAAGCGGCTATCTTGGGCGGAAACAAATTTCTTGCAGTTTTCATGCAACTGACCAACAAGGTATTTTAGGAAATGTGTTGCCCGTCGGTTACACCTCTGTTGAATACAACTCTTAATCAGAAATTATTGGAAATACGTGTCAAACTTGGGCCTAAACATTTTTCTTGCAGTTTGCATGCAACTGACGGGAAATGTTTTGGACTTCCAACTTATTGGCTTACTGTTGCATGAAATATGCCAGCTTGTTATTGCCGACAACGCGTTTCTTTAGGTTTACTAAGAAACTTTGGTTATCTGGGAAGTAGCAATTTTCAAAAACTAGACTTTTTTAGGTTATAAGGCTCATAGAGATCCGAATTTGGGTACCTGGTACATCGATATACTTTGCCGTATATTTAGCGAGTACAGTCGCGATACCCACGTTCAAGATTTGCTTATTTTGGTCGACCAATACATGAAACATCGTATGTCTGAAAATTGCTCCGTCCAAACTTCCGAATCATCAAATAAAGGCTTTGGAAGGTGCTATTTGCACCCAGGAATTTACGAGGAAAATGGTATTTTAAAGAAATTTTAGTAGAGATTTGTTAATTAATATGGGCAAAAAAATGTTGAACTGTGTGAATTCAAATTTGACCTAAGAATTTATGAAATTAGAACTAACTGATTTTTAAACATTTAGATTATTTTGTTATTCATATATGAATATATTTATTTTTAGGCCAAGTAATTTTAACTATCCTTATGCATATGGCCATTACTGGTAGTGTAATATAATTATCATTTTTAGCTTTAATTTAATATGTATTTATTTTAATTATTAATACTATTTCATTCTTGTTTTAAGTTAAGTACTTACCTATACGCAAAATCAACATTTGTTGTGAGGATTGTGAGTATAGGTTTAATATTTATACAATTTTTCTCCATATACTTATATATGTAATTAATTAGGTATATAAGCTATAAAATTACATCTAATTTTTAATAAGTAAATTCTAGAATTTACTTATTAAAAATTAGATGTAATTTTTATAATATTTTAGTATTTTTTTACACAAATATATTTATAAATATAATATATTATTTAATAATTGAATAAATTTTTTATATTATATTTTATGTTTTCTTTTACCACAAAATAATCTCCCTAAACATAAAATAGTTATTTGTTTTACAAGTGTTGAAAAGCGACTTTTTCATGCGAGTTTTTAAGTTGCCCACAAGGCCGTTAGGCCGAGTGTGCATTAACACGAGCTTAAAGAAAGCTTTTCTCACAAGTACAACACAATGTTTTTTCTGCGACCCTTTTATTTTTTATTATTTTCAAATACAAAACAAAATAACCTAAAAACGTGTTTGACAGCTGTTAAAATTACTTTCATCTTTTAATTTTTAAGGTACTTATAAGTTACTTAAAATCAATAAACTTACCTTCTCAATTTAAATAAACACAATTAACTGTGTTCTAAATGATATTTATATACATCTATAGACGAACATATACAAATACAATACAAATTTTGAAACGAATGTCAAACGATGCTGTCAATTTCTTTTCACACAGCCCTGTCACTTTTCATATGTGTTTTGCCTTGCCAATGAAAAAATTCATTTTCTAAGCAACAATGCCATTACAAAATGTGACTTTTAAATAGTGGTCGTAGAAAAATAGTTATTTATGTATTAAGGGCATAATAAGGTTTTTATGGTCCGAGGCGCTATTTCGAGCCCGAGCGCGTTAGCGCGAGGGCTAGAAAAGCGTCGTAGGACCATAAAAACCAGTTATGCCAGCAATGCATACAAAACTTTATGCACGATTAATATATTATTATTTTTAATATATTATTGGTTTTAAAGACGTTTACGTCAAAGAATTTTTGTTATAATTGTCATATTATAATGTCAACTGACATCAGTCAGTTTTAAAGTTTAAAGATGAATGAAATTGAGGAAGCAGCTGAAACGGCGAAAAATTGCGGCCTGCTGCCGAAAAAATCAAAATCTTCATACGAAAAAACTTACTTCGAATATATCAAATGGTGTAACATTGTTGTTTTTAATTTTTGACGTTTCATTATAGCCCGCTGGGTCATAATAACGCCCGCGGGCTATAAAAAGACGTTTACGTCAAAGATTTTTTGTTATAATTGTCGTATTATAATGTCATCGTGCATAAAAATAATTATGCCGCAAATTCTCCACAGCACACTATTTGCTGCCCACTGAGCAAAAAAACGTAAAATATATGTAAAATTAACGTCAAAGGTTGTAGTGTGACGTATAAGAATCTTGTAAAATAAACGTCACATAAACGTCGCTGTGATGTGCCTATGTCCGGATCCTGGGCCGTGAATTAGCCCTAACCGTTACGTGGATAAGGAGACGTAAAAATTACGTTTTTAAAAGGACGTAAAAATGCCATTTTAATATGGACGTATAGGTTTTGTTTCCACTTGTACGTAATAGTTACATTTTTTTAAATAAAACTACCACTTTGGAAATATATTTTTTTTTTATTAAAATAAATTATAAAAATAAAACATAGTCTGGTAAAAATAATAAAAATAAAACATACCGCCTAATTAATTTTCGGCCTCATTCTCATGTCCAAATTTGGCCAAAAAACGTTATGAGCGTTGCTTGGCGGTTTGGAACAACTCCTTGCTCTCTTTATCGAAATCACTTTCAGTCAGACGAAATAATTTCATACTGGCTTCTAAAACAAACATTAATAACTTAAGTTATCTAAGTAATTAAGTATATAAAACTTATATAACTTGCCTGTCGCTCGGCGCAAAATTTGTCTCCCATGTTCACTGGTGTATTAACTGAAAAATCAAATTGATTAAAAGACTTTTCTTTAAGTCTAACAGCATTGATTAATATTACATCTCACTCAACGCTAACATTTAAATCAACAAAATTCGATAAAGATAAAGCCAACTTACCTAAACCCATATACCTATAAGTTATAGGTATATGCCTAAACCGTTCAGTCTCGCCTATGGAGAACAATGCGTTTTCTATCACACAGCAACAAATGGCAACACACTGTGTTGAACACAGAACAATGGCAGTCGCAACGCAAACAGAGTATGCCCTGTTACAGGGCCCCTTTTATACCGATATATCGACTGGAAACGAAATTACCCGAGTCCTTTTTTACGTAAATTTTACATAAAATATACGTTTCTTAATCTCACTATGCGAGAATAATTATTATTTTATAAGCGGTAATATTAATTAATAAATCACTCTGGGATTTATAATAAGTCATTAAAATAATACCTAATTGTACCTACTTACATTGGTTTCTAAGTAAGTACCTTCGGTTTAATCTAAAATTATGAATTAAATTTGGTATTTAATTACCTAAGTATACACTCAAATTTTCAACAAAAATGTAAATGTCGCATATATTTTAATGTTCATCATTGGCAAACCTATCCCATTCATATTTATCATGTGTCACATTGGTGACGTAAAATGTACGTTGTGTTTTGCACCTAATACGCTAAAGTAAAATAAAAGGCATAGACTGGACGGTATAGTGACGTGTTCGACAGCACCTTTTATTTTTTAGCGTAATTTTTACGTAAATCGAACATCACTAAAGAACGTAGTTAATGTGCCTTAAAATTTACAATTTTTAAACGTCACTGTGACATCACCACATCCATAATGTTCAGTGGGTGGCGTGCTGGTGTATTGCTTTTTATTATTGTATTGCTTTTTATAGAGAACATTTATGTTCTGTGATTTAAGGAAGTCATGTTGCAAGACCTAGACCTATCTATCAATTTAAATAAATAAAAAATATTGTTTTTTACATTTCCCTTATTTTTTTAAAACTTATCATTCAAAATTGGTTACTTTGTGTTTGGAACTGATAAGTTATCTCTAACAAAGCAAGTTTTATACAGAATGAAATGATATCATTCCTTTGTTGAACGTCAAAAACTTCACTTGTTATTGTTAGTCATTCTTACAGACAACGTGTTTGTGGTTTAAGTGAAATGAATTTGAATGAAAATGTTTGGAAAAGGTAAAAAGAAAAAGGAGGAAAATGCGGAAATACGCAGAACCAGGTAAGTTAACTTATAATTTTAAAAAACGTACGAAATGAGTGGTTTAAGATTGTAATTTGTTAAAAGTTAAAGAATAATGGGAAATGCTTTGAAAAATTTCACAAGAGCTGGCAATAAATTAAAAATAGCTTTATAAAGGTTTGTTTTAATATTCTACTTTACAATACTGATTAACATATAAGTTTTTTATCATTTAATTAGATGATAATCCATTATTTTTCTGTTACAGTGTAACCCAACAGACTAACAATGGGTATGTATCATTCCTTAACCATATTAAGAATACCACTTAAATTACTTTGGTATAGAGCGGATTTTTAAGCAATAAATATCCCTGACGGTATATTATTAAGGTGACCATTTTTCTTTAATGAAAAACCAGGACAGAGTCTGTCCGACATACACGCAGCATGCCCCCCCCCTTTCAAAAAAAACAAACGAAACTTATTTTGTTTAATGTTTTTTAATTGAAAAAAAAATGAAAATTCTAAAAAAATAAAATATAAATAAAATAAATAATAAAAAAGCATTAAACATTTAAAACAAAATCAAATAATGAATATACCTCATTTAAAACATAACAAATAATAAAACAAGACTAGCTCGAAATCAGTGCTCTATACTTTTTTGAGGAGTGGATTGCCTCCAAAATCTTTGGCTCTGTGAGTAATAATTTATAAAAATCACCACAGTCTAAATCAAAATTTAATTTGGTAGTTAAGATACTTTTTAAGGTTTCCACTTTTAATTGAGTCTTATCACAGCTCCATATATTATTAACATGACTAAACACCCTTTCTGCTTGTGCATTGGTGCCAGGTAAACACATACAATACTCCAAAATATAAACCATATTTGTAATTGGATAATCATTATTATTAAAGAATTTAATGATCTCTTGCCATTTGGATCCAACCCTTGTCTTATTCTCTTTCCAAGAATCAAGTTTTTCTTGAACAACAAACTTCTTGAGACATGTAACTTCGTCAAAGAGATCATTTTCATCAATGCCATCTTTCCTTCTGGAATTATTAATATATTCTAAGCACTCCTGAATTTCCTCAAATTCAGGTATTTTGTTTAACAAAATCCAATTGAACTTTTGAAAATTATCACTATCCGGACTTTTCCACTGTTTTAAATAATCAATAGCTGTGACATAAAATTCAAAAATGTTTTTTTCTATTGAATGTTCACATATGCTACCATCTCGTACTAACGAATTTAACATCATTTTGAAGGACAAGGTGCGAAAATTTTCATCTCGTCGTTTTTCTAATTTTTCAATGAGTTCATTATAAACTCTACAGGTTTCAATAAAGGACGTTTTTTCGCCTTCTAATTTTAAAATAGTTTTGTGAAATAAATCTGCTATATTATGTGCAAAATATAACCAGATTTCAGTTTCAGGATTATTAAAATAGTTTTTAATTAGTACTGGGCACTTATCAATTGATAAAAAATAGGACTTCAATGCTTCATACTGTTGTAAAACTCGTTCAAGTGCAGGAAGTAATGCTAACCATCGTGTATTGCTGTAACCTAACATGTTCTTGTACTCAGTACCAACAAATTCACAAAACTCTTTCAGTTTCTCTACTCTAACTGTATGAATATAAAAATGGCTATAAATTTTTACAATTAAAGCTTCAATGTCTACTGGTAATGTATCACAAGCAGTCTTGATACAATTATTGACTATGTGGGCCATACAACCCACACCAACAATCGAAGCATTGTTTAATTTACATTTAACTTTGTAAAAAACATTATTTACTCCATTTCGAGCAACACCACCAAAATTGCTATTGGTGTTATCAGTACATAAGGCCAAAACTTTATCATTTAAATTAAAATTGGTCACAGTTTCCAATATGTAGTCACTTATTATATCTGAAGTTTCTCCCGGTAAGTCTTTTACTTGTAATATTTTTAACTGAACCCCTGCTTCTGGTAGAAAATATCTAACAATGATAGGCATCAGTTTAATATGTTTATGGTTTGATGCATCAGTGCATATCGTAATAAAATTTGCTTTTGACAAATCTTCTTTCAATAGTTGTTCTGCAAAGGGTGCAAAAACTTGACAAACTATGGCCTCACTTTTTGTTCTGGCACATGAATATTTTGCCTCGAATATTTTTTGAATTAGTCGAGAAGTGCAATCATTAGATCTGAAACTCTGATTATGTTTTATGATGTGGTAGACCCAAGTACCTTCTGAGGCAGCCAGTTTTGCCTCATCATGTGTAAATGTTTTTTTTTATAATAATTTACCACTTGCTGGCATCCTGATGTGCTGGCTACTGATGATTTATGCTTTATTGTCTTGATATGGTCTTGTAAATCCTTTATACCACTGTTTGCAATAGAGAATGACGAACCGCATATATTGCACTTGACCCTGGCACAGTCTTCAGATATTTTTCTCAAAAATGGAAATTTTTGTTGTAGTTCTGAGTTAAAAGAGCATTGCCTCCTCTTTTTTTTTGGATTTGAGGCCGACATGGTATTTAGTTTAGGAGTCAGCTGCTAAAAATATACAATAATTACAATATTGAACTTAACAAGATTATTATTTCCATTAATATTATTAATAAAATTGAAAGAGGCAAATCAAATTCAATTAAAGTAATACATACCAGTAATTATTAGTATTTATTCCATATATTGTATTAATATATTATCTACTTAGTAAATTCTACTAGGAATTTCCTAGACAACACAAAAACGCCGGTAAACATAATACCTAACCAACAAATAACCCATAGAATAATAATATATCAATACCAATGTTATTACACCATCATTTAAAAATAAATAAAAGTAACTAGATTGCGAGGTCACGACAAAAAGTCACTAGATTAAAGTGCGACAGAGTATTTTAACGATCGTTTAGCAGGAAAGAGAAAGAAAACTGTAGAGTTCCGTGCGTTCTAGATACAAGCATGCTTGCAACTCCGATCCGACGATATTAGAGATGTGCAAATAATGGCTCAATCATAAAAATTTTTTTTATTAAAAAATGAGTACAAACCAGGACCGAATCTGCGAAACCAGGACAAAACCAGTACACAATTGAAACCAGGACACATGAGTAAAAACCAGAACCTGTCCTGGGTAAACCAGGACGGATGGTCACCTTATATATTATAATTGAAAAAAAATCGGTTTACGCTCTAATTAGAGCGTAAGTTTAGCAGAATCGTTTAAGTACCTTTTAGATCGAAAACGTTATGTCAACTGTCAAAATGTTGCGTTTGGGCGGGGAATTTTTTATTTAAAAACGATAAAATAGCGGTAAATACACAAGAAAGCATATTTTTGTGTTTGTAGGGCCTTTTCGATTATTTTTATAATTTTGTTACTTAAATGAATGCCAAGAGGCTCATTTTTAAAAATTTATAATGCACCGGCTATGGCCATAGCTGGAAATTATATACAAATAGCTGGAAATTATATACAAATAATGATAACCAGTTTTTCTCCTTTACATAAACCTTTGGGTGAACTTGTGTCCACAATTTTAAAATATTTTTCTTCTAAACTATTTAACATTTCTTTAGTAGGTATCTGTATATATAGTTTGAAAATAAATATGCCGAAATATATACAGGGAATTTACTTTTCATGTACAATTTAATTGACGTTTCTACAAAGGATGTATAGAGACATGACATGTACAAGTACATGTTGTATAGTTGTGGGCGTTAATCTCACTAGATTTCTGACTGAACAAAATCATCTATACACTGTTTAAAATATCTGTGGTGTAAAGAGTAATCCTAAGATGATGTCAAAATCCAACACCAAGTGGTGTTAATATAACACCATGAATTATGGTTGAAAATGAACACCAAAACGGTGTTTATCTAAAAATATTTGAGAAGTGCACCTACACAGAAAAAAAGGAATAGTTCATTTAACTATATTAATTTAGTTGACCCATAAGTATTTATTTTTTTGTAGATCACGTGATGTTCTTATAAGTCAACAGAGGCGAGATTTATAAATCTCGCCTCTGTTGACTTACATGAAGAATATATAAGCTCAGGTAGTCCTTCTGTGACACTACAAGTTGTTCGATACTAGACCTTAAATAGGTGGAAACAGCTGTCAATACTTGAAGTATTTTAAGTTAGTGGAACGAACTAAAAACATTATCTCTAGCAAATTGAAGGTTCCATTTTCTGAAATAATACCACTGGTAATATACTAGTAATGCGTCAATTGACTAAGGAACTTCCTGTTTCCTTTTTTTTCCCTTTTTTCTGTGTAGTATGATTTAATTTGACCACAAACACATAATATTTAACACTGAAAAGGAGTTCAATTTACACCAGGTAAAATTTATTTTAATACTGTGTGAAAGTTAAATTAACACCATTTTAGTATTTGAATTTACACCGGACCAACGAACCATATTTAACACCATTTTGGTTTGTATCGATATAGACCAAATATTAATTTGGTGTTAAAATGGTCATGAAATTTTGAACAGTGTAGCAAGTTACTTCTCCAGTTTTAGTCTTCTTTCTCCGCTCTATAGATGGCGCGCTACAGAGATACTTTAAATATATGCCTAATAGGCATTGCCTATATTTAATAAAATTAAATAATTGTTAAATTTTTAGGTCTGTACACATTACAGCTACAAGAACAACCACTACATATGGTAGGTATAGAATAAATAAAAATATTTTTTATTTACCATATTAATTAACTCTAGAAAGGACCATCACATCACAGGAAACTAGATCGGTAGTTTTGCAAGGAAGTAGTGTTAACACCGCCTCAAACTTTGTGTTCCCCCCTCCAAGAACTTCAATTCCTAGTATTACACCAAGAACTCCATTAACAGATGGAACAAGTTTTACACCAAGTTATGGTTCAAGTATTAAAAAACCACCCACTAGATATGAACCTGTTTATGAGAGAACAAAAATGTTAAGTGCCAAAAGTATTGGTACTTCATTACCAACAAGTCCGATTGCAAGTAGTTTTCCAACAAAAAATTTTGGATATTCTTCGACAACGCCAAACCATCCAAAAAGTAGCACATCCGCCCTAAAACTAAGCAGTTCCTATTCTGCCATTCCCACCAAGGATGCTCAAAGTCCAACTTCCAAAACTGTTTCACCAAAACCGAGACCTTTTTCTGCTGAAGTTTCTTCATCCATCATACCAAGTATACCAACTTATGACACAAAAGGCTCTAAACGCGGTAAAGTTCTTATCATAAATAATATTGCGTTTAAAGGGAAGCACGAGCGTAAAGGAGCTGAACAAGACAGCACAAGATTAACAAAATTGTTCACCAAATTGAAATTTAATGTGACCGCAAAGAAGGACCTTAAGAGAAGCGTAAGTAAATAGTTATTTTCCTAACAAGTGCGCAAAGTTACATTTTTCCGCACGCTACTGCAATACTGCGAAGCGGAGTTTGATTATTAATGATTATTAATTTAATTTTTTTTAATGTTTATTACAAAGGAACAAATATTAATATTTTCTGAATTAATTGTAGAACAGGTTAATTCATTCAACGGGTGACTTGTTGTACTATTTAAGAAAGTTTGTCTTAACTAAGGAAGAGCCGTTTTTTATGTCCAATATTTTATTTGATAATTTTTTTTTGGGTCATGGATTCTTCTATGTAGCTCTCGGCGACAGCCGTTGATTTCCAGCCTCAAAGTCGCTTAACATTGGAAATTCCTTCCCCAGAATCGGCTAATATGGTAGCGGAGGATCTACGAAAACTATGACCTGTGTACTCCTCAGGATTTTTAAGTTTTAGATATGCAACTATTTGTGCAGGCATTTTTCAAAATGTATTAATTCCTACACATTGCACAGTGTGTTAAATTGATTATCTAGCTAGACAAAACCTAAATGACATAAAAAATTATAAATTTTCTTTGGAAGCGGGGTATTTGGGTTCACTGAATCCAAATCTGACATCCAAAATGCAGAAATTAAATTCGTTAATTACAAAATGGCCGGCGCCTTGTAATAAAAAATAAACTTTCGGTTTCGTCGAAAATTGGTGAACTTTCGTTTTTTCAAAGAAACGCCCTGTATATTTTTGTATATTTGAAATCTGGAGAAAATTTTTAATCCGATAAATGCACATTCGCTACCATTTTGCAATTGACCTTGAATTTTTGTCCAGTTTTAGTTTTCAATCCAGAAAGCTGCAATTTGGAGAATCAATTAGTTTTACCATTTGCAGTAAAATGCATAAATAGTAAATGTTGCTATAAATTGTTTTTTTTAATTAACTCAACTTTTTAAATACCATCAGAGTGGCTGCTAATGTTTTTTTAAATACATATGTTTTCTCCAATCAAAACCAACCAATGTCATAAAAATTCGGTTAGTGTTTTCCACGAAAATTACACTTATGGAAAACTTAAATTACAAAAAAAATAAGATAATTATAAAATTCCCGCGAAAGTGTAAGTATCGAATTCAAAATTTTCTCCTGATTTGAAATATGCAAAGATATGCAAAGTGTTTCATTAAAAAAACGAAAGTTGGCATTATTTCCGGGGAAACCGGAAGTTTTGTGGTATCCATTGAAGCTTGAAATAATTATAAATTAACTCTTTATTATTGCTCCCAAATTTCAACTCTATTCCAAAATTTAATAGTAAAAAAGGAGTGAGCCAGTTTTTGGTTACACCCTGTAGAAGAGGCAAATTGGGGCAATAAATAAAGGCACATAAGTAATCTGTAGACGTTATAAAACAAAACAAATATTGATAGTGCACCCGATATTGCTCGATTATAATACTTCTTGCTTAATAAATATTGTCCATATTTAACAACACCAAGTGAATTTCTATATCTATAGCCTGTTGCTGATTACTGATATTATAAATCCCTAATTATAAAAAATAAGTAATATATACCTAGATTCATAGCGGCACAGTTCAAAATTTGATTTAACTTGAAACAATGTCAAAATCACTCCACCTTTCTGCAACACATACACGGCTAAGTATATTTATAAAAAATGATACGCCCGGAACTGGCACCTTCATAGTGCTGAATACACTGTTACAGTACGTTCTAAGTAATGGAAACCATAACAGGGAGAACTGAAGAAGCTTATTTAATTAAATTTGTCTTAATTTCAGGTTGTTTTAAAATTAGGTTTTGTCTAGCTAGATAATTAATTTAACACACTGTGCATTGGGTAGAGCATGCTCTTCTTTTATTATTGACAAAAAACCGCTTGTGTGGGGTATTTGGTTTTCGCAAATTTGAATATTTTCGAAACAGTAGTAAGTAATGAGCATTATTGATTTCATCAGATATCAAAAGATTCTTGATGTGTAATTTTTACTGTCCGAAATTTTCACGATTACCAAATTTTCTTTATCTTTATCATCAATCATTATCTTTGAGAGCTCTTCTTGCCTAAAAGCACCAGCCGACCTAAAAATAGTGGCAACTTTTATTAAAAGGTAAATTTTATCTGGTGCTTCTTTGATGAATCTTGAAATGTCATCTTTCTCAAAAATGTTGGACTTTTTTGGTCGGTATCCCACATTTTCCTTTTTTATATATGTTGTTAATTTATAATATAGACTCAAATCCAATTTTTTATTAACGTTTAGGACACTTTTTAACATGGATTACTTACTCCACAAAGTTTTTGGCTGATATGATTTTCTTAAATCCGCAAAATAGGCCAGAAATACTTCTTCCTTAAAACTTTTTGTCCCTTTGTTGTTGCATCAGTTTTCAAAATGTTTAAATTGTTTCTCATATTTTGACAGGATTTCGCTGGTAATAAATTCTCATTTACAGTATTTTCTGCATCCAGAATGTCATATCGATGGTTATTTGTCAAAACATCGTAAGTGACAATTTTGTTGAATTCCTTTTTATTTTATCAAAGTGTCAGTTACGATAGCTGCACATGTTAACATAATAGTTATCCCAATTTTGGAATCTAATATTGGTCAATTTGAATATTTTTATTATTGTATCTTTTTAATTTGTTACCGATTTATAACGTAAGCGCCTATATGTTCCCGACAAATAATCGTAAGCAACTCCGAGACATGGCGTTTGCGATTTAACATTGTGTCGCTTACGATAATATTTTGCTCCCGCCTTGATCTATCAAGGCGTTATTCCCGCTCTAAACAGTTTATTCGTGAGTATATCTGCATCGTGGTGATTGCTACCAAGTTTTAAAACAATATTTTATTTGATCAAAAGCTTATAACTCCTTTTTTCATTGCATTATTAATAGTTATCCTAATTATAATTGTTTTTACGTAGTGTGGTTCGTTAAAAGTGTTTTTTGTAGTAATTGTATGTTGTTATAGCGTCAAATAATTTGACTCAAATCTATAACAGTTAGATCATGATACCATGGGTTAGATCATGGAGCCTACACAAGGAGTCCGAACATAATGTAAACAAGAATCTTCCTAAGATAAGTGCGCTGGTGTTCCGTTTATTCTGAAACAATTGTTTAATTTGTACCGAAACGCTAGCATCGACAATCAGCGCCGCTAGTGGTGAAAAAAAGAAACATAATTTGTACAATTTAGAGGGCTGGTTTTGTCAATTTCCCCTATTAAGTTCGGGCTCCATGGGTAGATACTGGTTCGTTTTTTTTCAAAGAAAGCTGATGTAGAATTTTATTTTCAAACATTGTTTGGCAAAATATCGTTGGTGATATTTTATAAATTAATTTTTTTGTATTTTTTTTATTTAATAATAAAAGTAACAAAATAAATGTCGCTAACGATGTTTTGACAAAAGTAATCATCAAATCTATATCCCACAAAGTAACGTAAATTTAACTTAATCGACAAGACTAATTTTACATTTTCCTAAATAGGTATGTTCTTATAAAATATCGAATGCCACAAAATTTAATGAAAATTTTAGATTGGATTAGATCTTACTTAAATATTTGAATTCTACATTAATAAAATAATGCCTCACCAGTTTTCAGATAAATAACTTTAAAAATTAAGCTCCCACACAAAAAAATCTCTTCTGTAAAATTTAGGTTTTGTCGCTTACGATGTTTTGTCAAATAACCATCGATATGGTAGCTCTTCTTCCAAAATTTTCATTTCAGTTTCGCGAAAAATCTATAATTTATTATGACGTTTCACTTTGTTTGACACTTATTGCTATGGAAACTAAGTAACTAACTAAATTTGATTTTGTCCAAAATCAACATACTTACGTACAAATGCAAATGCATGCGGAAAAGTGCTACTTTGCGCACGCAAATGGGTGCGGATAAGTGTTACTTTGCGCACGCTAGTTAAAAAATTATATTATTCTCTCAAAATCTGCCCTAATTTTAGAATCTTCAATATGTTTTAAGGGTATGGAATCGGAGCTTAAAAAATTTGCCGCTGACACTTCTCTTAAATCTCACAACATGATGATATGCGTGGTGATGAGTCATGGTACCAACATGAAGGATTCAAATGGCACCATAACCCAGATAAGTGGGATAGATGATGAGTTACTTTGGGTCAACGATATCCTGAAAATATTTGCAGACGAAAAACACAAACATTTGGTTGGAAAACCCAAAATATTTATTTTCCAATGTTGCAGGTACTTGTCTAATTCCACATGTTTGTACAAAATTTAATGCAGATAATAATTAATAAATCTTTTCAGAGGCGATGATGAGTTGGTTCATACTGATGCAACTCCATTTAGACCAACAGCAAGAAGCTATTCTGACATGCTTATAGCATATTCAACTTTACCTGGTAAATACAGGGTGGTTACTGCGGTTTAGGTTGATGACAACATTTTTATTTTTATTTTAGGTTTTGTTTCCTATAGAGATCCCGTAGAAGGCTCGTGGTACATTCAAAAGCTGTGCGAAGTGATTGAATTGCATGGACATTCTTTAGATATTGAAGATATTTTAAAAATTGTTGACGAAGAAATATCCAAAATGGGTAAAACTAATACGCAGACTGCTTGCTATGAGTCGAGAGGATTTAAGAAGTGTTATTTGTATCAGAACTGAAAATTAGAACAATTTAAAGTATTTATATAAGTATTAAATAAATTTTAATTACGTAAGATTTTTTTTATAAACTTCAGTTTAAAAATAATAAAAATATGATTGATCCCGGCACATTCGCCATTTTTTAAATATCCAGTGGTCCATTACAATATTGATTGGTTTTTAAACAGAAACTTTTGACCCAGCAAACACTTAAGTCTAATTATGTAATGACCCATTACATAGTTTAATGGCTTAATAATGACATTTTTAGATTTTTAACTGCGGCTTTGCAGTAATGTTTTAATAAAAATATTAATTTTGATTAAAGGCTGTCGTGATAAGCATAGCTGGGAAAATTACTTCTGAAAAGTATCTAAGATACTATCCGAAAGTATCTAAGATACTATATGAAAGTATCTAAGAAACTTTTGAGTAACTAAGATACTTTTAAGTAACTAAGATATAGTATATATATAGTATATACTTTTGAGTAACTATGTTACTTTTAAGTTTAAATAAAAACTATAACATTATAAAAATTCAACGTTGTAGGTTAGGTAATTACTTTGAATCATTCTGGAATTCCCCCAATTTTCTCTAAGAAAGTATCAGTTACACTGAAGAGTATCCATGTTACTTTAAAAAGTATCTTAGTTACTTTAAATATCTAAGTTACTTGAATGTATCTTAGTTACCTTACCGAGTACTTTTTAAGATACAAGTTACAAGATACTTTTCCAAAGTAACTAAGTTAAAGATACTTTCTGTCCAATATAAAAAGAATCTAAGATAAAGTATCTTATAGTTAATTAAAATGTATCTTTTAAAATAAAGCATGTTAGAATAATAGAATTATCCTATATAGTAAAAAACAATGCCAAATATTTTAATATTGGATACTATAACTAGAGATTTTATCTGCGGTTTATAAATCCTTACAAAGATCGATTTTGTCTCCGAATTTACCTAATGTTACTTACACTTAATATTTATGAGATTTATAAATCAAACTCAGCCAAATACGATAACTTTATGCGTCAGAAAGCATAATATATGACCTTAATTATAGTTGCGAAAACTTTGCGCCATATTTTTTTCACCGGAGTTTTCTCTCCGACATTTTACATTTTGAAGTTTGTTTTTACGGACATTTCGTCGGTTTTAATTTAGTTAACGTGTTTGTTTTTCATTTAACATAATGTTTATTTACTGAAAATAAAATGTTTTTCCCTAAACCCCACATTATTGAAAAAGCTTTGAAAATATTTAAAAAATATACATGCGTACTTTTAGGTGACTGGGAAGTGATACAGATTCTCATCGTCTAGTTTTAGTGATTAAAAATGTAATAGAAATGGGTAATTTTGATATGAATGTTTTAATTATATCAAAGCTACACCTCTTTTTATACTGGTGGTGTATTTGACTATTATTATTATTTTAACTAAAGTACAATTTTTTACTATTTATTTACCAGTTTTAGTTCAAAAAATTTTTGTTTATAACTCGCAATAAACATTTTTTTAGAGTGGTTTTTATGAATGTTATATTGCCCAAAATATAAAACTTTAGTTTCCCAACTTGGTTACAAACATATTAATATTACTCATTAAAGAGCTTTTTCAATGACTTAATTTTGTAACTAAAGGTGACATAAATATTTTGAAAACCACTATATAACTACTTAAGGCACCACCTTGGTTTTTTATAAATTAGACTTAAAGCTATATAGTTTTATAAAACCTCCAATTGCAAGCCATATAAAACTTTTTTTAAACTTATATAAACCTAATTGTAAAGTAACCGTAAGTTATATAAAATGTTTGTAGAAACAATTATATAACCCAGTGTATGAGTCGTAAATTAAATGATAATTTTATAAAACCTTGATTGTAAAGTCTTATATACTTTGACTACCTTTATATAACCCTTATATATATAACTAATCGTTATCATAAGTAATTGCTATACTTCAAAAGTTGTTTGCAAATGTTAAAATATACACTACATTATTTTAATAAATGTATTTAAACTAATCTGGTCTCTATTTCAATGAAGTTTCTGAAAGTTTAATTTTATTATATTATTTTATATGGCAGTTGGAAATTAACATATTCGTTTAAATTTGATTTATAAATGTCATAAATATTAGGTGTGGGTTGCATTTGGTTCATTAGATTACAAAATCGATATTTGCACTGTACCCTGAATTCAACAAAAATTCGTTATGTAAATATACGTAATATTAATAATTATAAAAAAATACATTATATGGGTGATTCTATAAAAGTTGGACAACTTGATGTCATCAGTCAATAATGTATTTTTCATATTTTATCATAGATTCGAATAATAGCAATTTTAAAAAAATTGATAATCTTTGTACTCACTTTTACCCGTCAGTTCTGTGTCCAATGTTAAAATTCAAAATTCCTGCGAAATATTGAAGTTTAAACGTCAAGTCCTCGTTTTAACTCAAGTGTTGGTAAAAAATTACCTACAGAGCCCGCCCTTTGCACGACAGTCATCTTGAAAACAATGCAAGCGGCAAAATTGTGGTGAATGCACGTATAGTTCCAGTCAAAATTTCAGTACTGTGGTGAGTAGTTATTTTCTTACGTATATATATTTCATTGTAATTTATATAAGGCTATATGAGATTTGTTGATAAGTAGCATCCACTATTAAAAATATCAGTAAAATAATTAATTCCGAATTATAATCTCAAATTTGTATCTCGTTCATCAGTACCGGGTCGTCAGTTCCATGTTCGATGTTTCGGTTATCTTTTTTTGCAAACTTCAATTTAAATTCTGCTTGCGTAGAACTTGTTTATTTGATTTAAAGATATTTAAAGTATAATATGCTCAAAGTTGCAATAAATATTATATTTTCCGATAAATTATGTTTTTAATTAGTACCCTGGTATACTCGTCACTTCCCTTGCATTCAAATTTAGAAAACACAGATATTTCAGAAACTGTTTGAAAAAGTGACTGGCCCGGTCTGGAACAGTATATTTATTATATTATCTATGTTCTCATAACAAAATACTGTTTAATTTTCTCGAAAACTATATAAACAAAAAGAGGTCAAAAGTTGCCCAACTTTTGTAGAATCACCCATATGTATATTATGGTGGTCCAAAAATTAAAGTTTTAAATCTTTGGCACGGATTTAAGCGGTTGTTAGTCCATTTTCAAGGGATATATTTCGATTTATACATAAAAATTTGGTTTCTCTATTTTTTATAAATGTCGCTCTATACAAATATTGAATTTAAATCTTTTTTGGATAATAATAAGTATTTGTCGTAGAAAAAGTATAGTATGCAACTCGTTTATAAACTTTTCCAAATGGCGTTTATCAAACTTGATACATAATACACTATTAAATCTCAAAGCATAAATATATAACATGAATAAAAGTATTTTGTTATATGAAGCAACGGTTGATAAAATTAAATAAAAATCATAATTAGGGTGTCCAAAACATAAAAAAACTTAAAGCCTTTATGATAGTTATGGTTGTCAAAAATTACAAATAATATTCACTTATAAGCACAAACATCTTCTTTTTACCAGCTAAGCATTAAAGTTCATTTCAAAGCGACACGGATGGTTTTTATAAACTTTAAGACCGAAGACAACGAATGGGTTGAATCGAGAGTCCGTGAAACTGTGCAAAAAGATCGATTGAGCCAAGTAAATCCCAAATTCGCAGTTTTGATTACACCTCCTTCCATTTAACACTGTTCCCCTCTGCTTTATTTCACTTTATACAATCTCTTTAAATAAAATTAGACCCAGACTGAATTTAGATTTAAGTTTAAAAAATATTTGGGCTATATGGGTCATTCATATGAAAATTAAGTATTGTTAAACAGTTTGGATAGTTTAAGGAATATTATAATGCTTTAACTAATCTTAGTGTTACTAAAAAAAGTATTTAAGGACAGATTATTATTATCAATCCAAATAAAGATTTAAGAATGAGAATGACCCATATATTAATGCTTTACCGCGCTTTTTCCATTAAAAGATTTTAAAAGGCGTGAAAAATAAATAAGACTAAAAATGTGTCATCCCTTAAGTTGACATTTTTACTTTAACGACGCAAAATAATGAATGAGCAAAATGAATATGCATTAGGGCCGTCATAAATTATGTATAACCTGGCAAGTTCAACTAAAATCTTATGTTTTGAAATAGTTTTTCTCACTAAAAGAATACTATTCATTATAATTAATTAATTAAAGTTCTATTTATAGAGTTAATTATCCCTTAAGATTTTAAACCAAACTAGGTAATTAGTTTTTAATTAAGAAACATTTAAGGTAGGTATTTAAAAAAGGAAAAAGTGGGATATTTGAAATAGTTTTTCTCACTTAAATAATTCTATTCGTCAAATTTGATTTTTTTTTCATTCCATGAAATTTTTTTATAGATTTAAAAAAAAGTCATTTTTTTTAAGTGCAATCCAATATAATATTATCCACGGTAATATAACAGATTCGATAACAGCTAAAAATTTATTCACTGAATAAATGGACAACCATTAAGATTATTTATTTATTTTAAAATTATTTTAATTATGTACAGGGTGTTGCACATTTACGAAGTACGGGTGTTTCACGTTCTTGGTCCATTGAGAGTTTCTAAGGAACGGCAAAAGATATCGATTTGAAATTTTTAAAGCGTTTATAATCCAATTAAGCCTATTTTTCTAAAATATTTTAAACAAAATGCCACTCTCGGCTTGACCGGAAGTGACATCAACTTTGTTATTTTAAATGGAACACCCTATATATTTTTACATTTTTAAATTCTACATAAAATTTTGAGTAAAATTACAGTATCATGTCCTATACCTAGAGTAAATAGTTTTGGGGTAATTAATTTTTTCCGTTAAAATATGACAAATGCGCGTCAATCAAGAATAGCCCATAACTTTCTTGCTATTAGGTTTGCAGAAATGGGGGTGGAATTTTTGGAATCTTAAAACATTGTTTAAAAGATTCCATGT